CATAACCAATGAACACAGAAAACAGCATAGAGAAGGCTGGAGGGCAAGGAGGAGGGGTTAATGGGGGGAAAGAGGGAATATCTGTAATACTTTCAACAATAAAGATAAATTTAAAAAAGAAAGAAAGAAAAATAGTCCAGGCGGTGGGAGAGGCAGGCTCTTAATAAAATGAACAGTGTGAGCCCGGCCGGTGTGGCTCACTGGTTCAGCGCTGACCCATGCACCAAGAAGCTGCAGGTTCGATTCCCGCTCAGGGCACATGCTCAGGTTGTCGACCTGATCCCCAGTGGGGGCCATGCAGGAGGCGGCCAGTCTATGTTCTCTCTCATCAATGTTTCTGTCCCTCTCTCTCCCTCTCCCTCTCCCTTCCTCTTTCTCTAAAGTCAATAAAGAAAAAAAACAGGTAAATGCGGTATCGCGTCCTCCCACAACCACATCAAAGTTACAACTAAACTACAGAACAACCATCATTCAAAACTGCCTGAAATCAAGCTGAATGGAAGTCCTACAACTACGAAATTAAAGCAGCAGCCACATCCAGACTGGTAGGAGGGGCGGAGGCGGACGGGCTGGTCCCACACCAACGTGTGGCGGATAAAAATCAGGAGGACACCTCGGTTGGGAAGGTCCTCCCTGAGGACTGAGGGGTCCCCGTCCCACACCAGGTGCCCTGCTCAGGGTTCCAGTGCCAGGAAGAAAATCCCCATCACTTCTGGCTGGAAAAACCAGCGGGAACTGAGGCTCAGGGAGGCTGAGGCAGCTGGAGCCCCAGGCAGCTCCCTAAAGGGCCCGCGCACGAACTTATCGGACTCTCTCCCTCTAAGCTTGCAGGGGAGGCAGCTCAAGGGGCACCAGAGACATACAGGGAAGAACCGAGCTGTTTGGCACTGGAGCGAGGGCTGGAGAGGGGACTTTCTCCGGGACAAACGTGCTGTCAGAGGCCTTTGTTCCTTTGGTGAGCCCTTCCCTGGGGCAGCAGATAGCTGCCATATCTGGGACTCCAGCAACCTGGCTCACACTGGTAGCCTCGCCCTGGTGACTCCCTGAGGCCCCGCCCTGCCCTGCCCCACCCAACTTTCAGGCCCACCCAAGCTGTTGCCAGTTGCTTAACCATAGGATTGGCCTGTCTTGGATCCTGCTTCAGGTTTTTCCTAAATTCTTTCAAACGAGCAGCATCTGGTCTCAGCTAGCCCCATACCACTCGTTAAGTAATACACTGAAACAAACACAGTGAGGTAGCCAAAATGAGGAGACAGAGAAACAGGTCCCAAATGAAAGAACAGAACAAAACCCCAAGAAAAGAACTAAAGGAAATGGAGATAAGCAACCTAACAGATGCTGAGTTCAAAATACTGCTTATAAGGATGCTCAATGAACTCAGTGAGGGCCTCAAGAGCATAAAAAAGGACCAGTCAGAAATGATCAATGCACACTCAGAATTGAAGGAGGCATTAACTGAAATAAAGAATAATTTACACAGATTCAATAGTAGAGTACGTAAATCCAAGAAGCAAACCATCGATTTGAAATATAAGGAAGCAAAAAACGCCCAATCAGAACAGCAAAAAGAAAAAAGAATCCAAATAAATGAGGATAGTGTAAGGAGCCTCTGGGACAACTTCAAGCGTGCCAACATTCGCATCTTGAGGGTGCCAGAAGGAGAAGAGCGAGAACAAGAAATCAAAAACCTGTTTGAAACAATAATGGCAGAAAACTTTCCTAACTTGGTGAAGGAAACAGACATACAAGTCCAGGAAGCACAGAGAGTCCCAAACAAGATGAACCCCAAGAGGCCCACACCAAGACAAAATGCAAAAGGTTCAAGACAAGGAGAGAATCTTAAAAGCAGCAAGAGAAAGGCAGCTAGTTACCTACAAGGGAGTTCCCATAAGGCTGTCAGCTGATTTCTCAAAAGAAACTTTGCAGGCCAGAAGGGAGTGGCAAGAAATATTCAGAGTGATGAAAAGCAAGAACCTACAACCAAGATGACTCTATCCTGCAAAGCTGTCATTTAGAATCGATGGCCATATAAAGACTTTCCCAGACAAGAAAAAGTTAAAGGAGTTCATCACCACCAAAATGTTGTTATATGAAATGATGGAGGGTCTTTTTGAAGGAAAAGATAAAATATATGAACAAACAAAATGGCAATGAATACATATCTATCAACAATGGAATCTACAAACAAAATGAACAGGCAGAACAGAAACATTCTCATAGATACAGAGAACATTTTGTTGGTTGCCAGATGGGAGGGGGGTTGGGGGAATGGGTGAAAAAGGTGAAGAGGTTAAGAAGTACAAATTCTCCCACTGCTGGGAATATACCCTAAGAAGCCTGAAACACCAATCAGGAAGAATATATGTACCCCCATGTTCATAGCAGCACTATTTACAATAGCTAAGATCTGGAAACAGCCCAAGTGTCCACCAGTAGACGAATGGATCAAAAAGCTGTGGTACATATACACAATGGAGTACTATGCAGCAGTAAGAAAGAAAGATCTCTTATCCTTTGAGACGACATGGAGGGACCTGGAAAGTATTATCCTAAGTGAAAGAAGCCAAGCAGAAAAAGACAAATACCACATGATCTCACTTATATACGGAATATAATGAACATAACAGTCTGAGGAATACAGTAGACCCAGACACATGGAAGTAGGGCACAGACTGACATCCCTCAGAAGAGGGGATGGGGGCGGGGGGGAGAGATAAACCACAGAACTTATATGCATGTGTGCATGACCAATGGACATGGACAACTAAGCCGGGGACAGGGTGGAGGGGGGGTGGGGTGGGGGGTGCCAATGGGGTAAAAAGGTAAAATATTTGTAACAAAAAAATAAATTAAAAATTCATAAAAAAAAAAAAGAAAAAAAAAAAAGAAGTACAAATTCATTGCTAGACTGACAAACCTCAAAGGGAAAGGGGTTGGGGGTGGGTGGGTGGGAAGAAATAAACCAAAGAGCTTATATGTATAACCAATGGATACAGACAATAGTGTGGGAAAAGGCGGGAGCGGGGCGGGAGTGGGGAAGAGGGGGTCAATGGGGGAAAAATGTGGAACATCTGTAATACATTCTACATTCAACAATAAAGATTAAAAAAAAAAACATTTTAAAAAATAAATAAATGAAATAAAGCAAACAGGGTGATAGCACACCAAGACCAGCTCTGCAGTGCTCACAATACTGGAGACTCTTCAGGGAAGCTGCTGAAAGTTTCCTGGAGCTAAGGACTTGGGCAGCGATTAAAGGGAAAGAAGGAGAAGGGGAATCAAAGGCATAAGCAGCAAATGGAAAGAATGTCCCTGAGCTCTGCCTGCTGCAGGCTGTGCCTTCCGCCTGGCCTGGAGCTTCCGCTCGGTGCTGTGTTCCTTCCTCAGCCGGGACTTCCCTAGTCAAGGCATCAGCAGGCTTTGAGGGACTCAACTCCAGTCTTGGGCAAGGACAGGAGGCAGCACAACCCCCCTTGGCATGAAGGAGCACACTGAGGGCCAAGGTCACCTTGGCATCATTTCCTGGGAAAGGGAGACAGAATTTAGGGCTCAAGATTTCCAGGTGAACTTCCTGGATCTTTTATCTGCTCATCCTCTTTTTCATGACTAGGTTGATGGCCTCACTTGGTGCCAGGTGTGCCCTGGCCCTGACCCTATAAGGGTGTCGCTGCGCGGGGTATGGGTGTTGGGCACTTGGCCAGAGGACTTTCTCCTCACTCTTGGCAGGGGATCTAGGACAATGTGGAGGCTGGCAAAGGGCAGGGCTGAACTTTCCAGGTGAGCCACTATCAGGCTGGGACATCCCAGGCTCCTAGGCCAGGTAGGAGGAACAACCTTTAGCCTAACTTCTTTCTGGGTCCAGTGTCGAAAGAAATTATCTCAGAAATCTGGGCCAGCCTGCCCTCCAGTGGTGCTCGGCAGTAACTGCACTTTCCCGGCCTGCTTTACACAGTGCGTTGCAGCTTTTCAAGGCTCTTCTGAGGTCCCCAGGCAGGTGACCAGGAGGGGGAGCTGTTCTCCTGTCATTTCAAGCATCTCTCCATCTTACATGATACTGAACCCTAAAAGGGGAGGGAACTAGTATGTGAGCCACCTCTTCATACCAGGGACTTTGCATACATTGCTTCCCTGAGCCCTCCCAAAGTCCTGGGCACGGGGGACTAAACTCATGTTACAGAAATAGCCCCTGGTTCTGGGGTCCACCATAGTCCATTCTATGTCCATCTGACTTTCAAAGCCGTGTTTCGAAGGTAACACCTGCCTGTGGAAACCCACTAGGCCAGAAGTGTCCAGGCTCTTGCGAGAAACAAGCAAGCAGAAAACGAGAGGGGGTCGTTGGGGAGCAGTGGGCCTGTCCGCCGTGTGCCCAGCAGGTCACTCTCGAGGGAGAATGCTGGACTAGCCCCGAAGATGAGTTGAAAATCTGGATTTTTATGTAAAAGTTCCCAATTTTAAATATTGACAATGAATTCAGAAAAGACAGTTTCTAACACATTGAGCTTCTATAACATCGTCATGAGGCAGGTGAGGTCCGGAGAGAGGAGGTGACTTGCCCACAATCTATGACCATATAGAGACAGAGCACAGACTTGACCCCAAATCTCCTGACTCCCAGGCGAGTGCTCCTCCCAGCACACCTCTCTGGTCTACTCTGCTCTCCAGGCCCCGGGGCAGAGATGGACCACTTGACTTCAGTGAGGTGGTGAGACATGTCAAACTCAGACTGGAGGCTGGGAAACTATCAACATTTATTGGTCACACCTGGCTTAGAGTGTAGCAGGCCCATCTTTGCGCCCTCTTGGGAGGAACAAGACATACGCAACCCCTGGGAGCTCACTTGGATCCCACTGAGTAGTGGCGGAGCCCCACAGCCTTACCTATCTTTGGTTTTTTAAAAAATATTTTTTCTTTATTGACTTTACAGAGAGAGAAAGGGCGAGGGAGAGAGAGAGAAAAACATTGATGAGAGAGAACATCAATCAGCTGCCTCCTGCATGTCCCCCACTGGGAATCAGGCCCACAACCTGGGCATGTGCCCCAACCAGGAATCGAACTGGCGATCTCTTGGTGCACGGGTTGATGCTCAACCAGTGAGCCACCCGGCCGGGCCTTGCCTGACTATCTTAGAAGTGCCCACTCCTTGCATCCTTAGACCTGGTTTTGTCCCTTACACAGGACAGACTGGGCTCCATCCTACAAGTCAAGCTGGCTCTCCATGGACTGGGGACCATAGTGCTGTAGGGTAGCATTTAAGGGGAGGGGTCACCAGTTTATTGATGGGCAAATGAGGCTTGAGGCAGGAGGGACTCATCCAGAAGACTCATGGCTAAGTCCTCGGCTTGGTCCAGGGGCCTGGCCCTCAGGCCACTGGGCCGTTCAGTGTTTAGATACTCTCCCCACCCAGTTCTGAACGGAAGACATTCTCTGGCTTAGCTGCTCTGGAAATGCAATCTATAAATACATACCTGTTTTTTTAAAGTAATAAATTAGATCTTGGACCAGCCTGAGGGCATCTGGCCAGCCACGTGTTATATGACATGAACATTTGTCACATGTCTTATGTGAACCACCAATCATATGTCCTGCCATGCATGGTGCTAGGACCCATGACACTGACCCACAGGCCACACTGCAAGACCCATGGAATGTCACGTGGAACTCTGCCACATGTGACCTTCTGTGTCATGCATACATCATGACACCCGCAATTGGACCACATGTCCCTTCTAGACATGCATGTCTCATGTGATACACGGTAGTCTATTGGCCATACTAGGCTCCTAGTTCCCAAAAAAGTCCTCCCTGAAGACTGTAGCAGGACAAATGTGTCCCTCCTTCCTGGGGCAGTTGCAGGGGCGCCCCACTGAGGCCCTCCTTGAGCCCTCTATCTTGGCCGGTGGGAGCTGGCATCATTTGGCTGGATCCAAAGGGTCTTGAGGTGGCCATCAAGTACCCCAAGGGGCCTGTGGCTGGTTGGGGAAGAAAGCAAAGTCCAGCCGGGGCTCCTGGCTCTGCAGACGCTGGGCCACGTCGGGGGCAATGTGGTTATTCCAGAGGCTGTGGGACACAGACAGATGCTCAGTACCCACCCTCCTGCCTCTGCCCCCGCTCTTCGACACGTGGGGAGACTGAGGCCCCAAGGGGAAGAGCTGTGCAGAGGCAGCTATTAGACCAGCATGGCCACCCTAGGGATGCGGTGTTCCCCACCCCGCCCCCTGACTTTTTCCACTCAGTCTTTCTCCCTGAGAGCTAGTGATGTCAGCCAGGTCCCCACTCAAATGACACACTGCCAAATAAGGAAAAAGCTCCCCTCTTAAAGACACTTGACTTCCATTGTCTGAAACTGTCATAATATACTGATTTTTATAGAACAAAGAACGTCACTACTGCCCACTAGAAGTCTAACACGTGCGTGGTGGCCCTTGGACACGAGCGCTCGAGCGGCGCCCGGCTGTGCCCGGTGCCTCTGCGGGAAGCTGGGCCCGGGAGTGCGCTCAGTGCTGTACCCCCATCCCGTCCTCAGCGACTCTCCGAGGACATGAATGCCGTCACTATGCCCATTGCATAGATGAGGAAGGTGAGGTTCGAGAGGCTGAACGACATCAGCTACACAGTCCGCGACGGCAGAACTGGTATCCGACCCGGGTCTGCTTGCCGCCAAACCCTTGGTAGTGGTCCAATCTCCTTGATAATTCCCAACCCGGGTCCTGCCTCCTTCTGTAGGGCGTCCCCTTACATTGTCGGGGTTGGTGAGGTCTCCCGCCCACATCCCTGCCCCTGCAAGCCCGTTACCGGATGACTTGGATGCCAGGCCCCTGCGCCAGCCCTTCAGCCAGGAGCCAGGCTCCGTAAGCCGTAATCCGATTCTTCTCCAGGCTTCCCAGCGCACAGCAGAGGAGGGGAAAGACAGAGAATGACGTGAGCTGAGGTGGGGAGCTTCCCTGTGCCCCTTCCCGGGGGACGAGGACTCCCCACACCTCTGCTCAGAGAACCCAATAAACAGTGCGACAGGAGGACTGGAGGCTGGACCCAGGGACGCTGAGCTGGGCAGTGGCTTGACGAGAACAGCAGTGTGTACGCCACGAGGGCTTCCCTGGGGAGAAGGGCTGTCCTCTTGGCCTTCCCCAGGACGTAGGTCCCCTGTGCCCTCCCCACCCCTGCTGGCTCCCAGGACAGGCCGCTCATACTCCACTCTCTTCAGCCGGTCCATCCGAGGCAGGACCTGGGCCAGTTCAGCAGCCGCCTCGTCCCCAAGCAGATTCCAGGACAGCCTGCAGGGCAGGGGTCCAAGGTCAGCATCAGGAGAGCAGGGAGGTGGAGGGGTGAAGACCAGGTGGCTGGTGGGGCCCAAGCGGGGGTGCCAAGCAGGTACAAGAGGTACCTGATGGGAGCTTGTGCACCCCCCTGAGGACTTCTCAGGGCACAGGTTGCCCCTTCTCCCCTCCCCAAACCCATTCCCGAGCTGCCCCCCCCCCCGAACCCAGACAGCGCAGGGCCTGGCTGCCCCGAGAGCTCACCGTGGTGTGCGGATAGTGTCATGACCCACACTCGCACCAAGCTGTGCCTCGTGATGACCGCTGTCACATCCATGCACCACATAGTATTATTTGTTTTATATTTTTCCTTAAATAGCTTCCCTCACCCCTCCTTTTTTTAACTGTAAGAATTTAATCTTAGGAAACATTTATCACTACTATCAACGGAAAAGCCATGTTGAGGACCTTAAATAGAAGGTAGCTACCAGGATAAACACAGGGCAAACAACAGTATCAGCTTCTAACTGGAATCTAGGTCCTTCCTCAGGTGCTGAGGCTGTGGCCTGCCCCCTGCTGGCTAAAAAGGGAGACACACCCCTGTTAGGAGCTACAGGTGAGTGAGCACTGATCTGAGACTTCCTCTCTAGTGTAAAGTAATGAGAAGTAGTAAGTCTTTAGGATGCAAACCTGACACTGTACAATCACTTGTGACCTGTACTGTAGGAAACAGCACTTTCTTCCACAGCACAGCCAGGGTCCCAGACTGTCTGACAGTCTCCTTTACCCCTGGGCAGTGGGCAAGGCCCCGAGGTCGGAGCGCCTCTCATTGCCAAGGTGGAGGTTGCGGGCAAGGCCACCTTGGCCATTCCTCACTACCAAGGTGGTCTGTAAATCAAGGGTCCACAAGCCAGGTGAGGTGGCCTATCCAGCCACCTCCCACAGGGAAGGTCAGGGGCAGAGCCTTTAGAGGTGTCTGTCTGCTTCCCCTCCCGCCACTCCACAGGTGGGGAAACAGGACGGAGAGGCTGAAAGACCTGGCCCAACATCACTTGCAGCTCAAGTGTTAAAACTTCCTTAGAGGAGATTGAGCAAGAATGACCTTCCTTATTTAGAAATGGGAGGGCAGTCCGGCTGGTGTAGCTCAGTGGTTGAGCATCAACCCACACACCAAGAGGTCGCCAGTTGGATTCCCAGTCAGGGCACATGCCCAGGTTGTGGACCTGATCCCCACTGGGGGCATGCAGGAGGCGGCCAATCAATGTTCTCTCTCGTTGATATTTATATCTCTCTCCCTCTCCCTTCCTCTCTCTCTAAAATCAATAAGGAAAAAAACCACAACTTAAGTAGAAATGGGAGAACATCTGGGAGGAAGAGACCAGTTCCAGGTCACGCCCCAAACGCCCACTTCCCCAGCACTCACAGGATGTCTTCCAGGGCGGGGCAGAGCACGAAGCTGGCAACGAGGGGCTTGGCAGCCTGGTTGTCAATCTCACAGGAAGCCAGGCTGGGGAAGAAGGGATGAGATGGAGCTGTGTGAGTCGGGGACACCTCCCAGCTCCCTCTGCCCCCGCTGTAATCTGAGCAGGAGGGAGATGACCAGAGTGGGGGGCAGGTGGGAGTCAGGAAAGTGGCTCAGTGGTTAGAGTGTTGGCCTGAGGACCGAAGGGTCTTGGGTTCAATTCCTGATCAAAGGCATGTACCTGGGTTGCAGGTTCGATCCCTGGTCCCCCACCCCTCAGGGTTGTGTGGGAGGCATCCAATCCATGGCTCTCTCTCCCCCTCCCACTTTATCTAAAAATTTAAAGAATAAATAAATAAAAATCAATGGGAAAATATCCTCAGGTGAGGATTAGCAAAACAAAAAAAAAAGAAGAAATGTGCCCCTTTTGGTCCCAGTCTTCCCCTGGACCTGAGGCCTCTGTCACTTCAAAGGTGCCCCAGCCCTCAGAGAAGGCTGACCCCTACCCCGCTCCCCAGTAATCAGGGGAGGCTACTTACTCTATGTGCCTGAGAAGCGGGAGCCCCTGACAGAACCGGGGGACCTGTCCAGCCAAGCTGTTCTCTGCCAAGCTGCAGGGCAGAGAGGCGCCTGTGAGAGGCCCCCAGAGGCCCTCCACCTGCCCCCTGCCAGGCTACTGGGCTTCTACTCACCTGATCTCTTCCAAATGTGGGCATCCGTCCAGGGCCTGGCCCAGTCTCAGCACCCCCTCTGGGCCCAGATGGTTGAACCGCAGGCTGGGGAAAGGGGTGGGGGTGAGGGGACTCTTGGGGGACCGGATGTGGCGGTTAGGGGGCTGGATCCCCCCACTTACAGCCTTGTCTCAGGCTATACGGGCAGACCTCAGACATCTCTGGATACTGGTCATCCCAAACCTCCTCCCCATCCACAAAGGACCTGGGTAGGTATCAAGGGCCCTAGCTTTGGAGTCTGAGCTCCCAAGTTCAAGGCCTGGCTCCTTCGTGTATTAACAAGGTGAACTCTCCACACCTCCCCTGCCTTATTCTGCCGGCTGGAAATGTAGCAGAATCCCGGCCCACAGGCTGCCGTGAGGCTGCAGTGACACCAACCGCGTGGCGCTCTGCTCCTCCTGCACCTTGGCTGACGCCTCGCTCACCCTCAGAGATGGGCTCAGGGGCACGCGGAGCGGGGGTCCTTGTAATTCTTTTGTAGATGAGGAAACTGAGACTCAGCGGGGCAGGGTCTTGGCCAGGGCACACAGAGGCTGTGGCAGAGCCAGGACTAGGTTCCCCAGATCACAGGCAGGAGGAGCAGGCGGGAGAGGCGGCAGCCAGCCCCAGTTTGTGGAAGGCAGGGCAGCCCAACCAAGGGGTCCTTGACCCCCAAGTGCTCCAGGAGAACCCCTCCCACTAGCCCTGCACGCACCACAGGCGGGGACACTCACTGCAAGACTCTCAGGTACGGAGGCAGCCCCCGGGCCAGCTCCAGAGCTGTGGGGTCCCCCAGGGCATTGCAGCCAAGCCTGGAGGAAGACAAGGGATGAGTCTGAGAACTGCTGGCCCACTCCAGACCCTTGCCCTGTGCCTACTGGGGGAGATAAGGGTCAGGTGAGCCATGGGGACACAACGGGCAGAGGGCAGCCCATCTGGGCACTCACATCAGCTCCTCCAGGTTCTTGCAAAGGGCGAGGGACTCTGCCAGCCATACTCCCCCTGCTGTGCTGATGCCATTCGCTGAGAGGCTGAGGGAGGGGCAGACATCAGAGCCTCAGACTCCCCTCTCCCTCACCCCCCATATCTGCTGGGCCCTAAGACACAGCACCCCCATCACACGCCCTCCCAGCCTAACAAGGCAGAAAGGTCCAGAGCGGGGCCAGGGCTGGGCTGGCTGAAGGCTCCGAAGTGAGCAAGGTCAGGAGGTAACCCAGCCCCGCTGGCTGGGCACTGACATTTCGGGAGGAATGTCAACCTGAGGCAGAAGCCTGTGTCTCCCCAGACCATGGGGTGGCCACTGAGGGTCCCTGTCAGTTGGGCTGGCCACTCACTCTATCTTCCGGAGCACAGGCAGCCTGGGCAGGACGGCAGCTAAGTGCTGGGCACCCGTGTCTCCAATCTGGTTGTGGCTCAAGCTTGGAGAGAGAACAGCAGACCTGGAAGCATCAGCCTGCCGGCCACCCCTCTCGTCTGGTCCACATCACCACCCCAGACCAGGAAGAGGCTGAAGTCTAGAAAGGCCTTGCTCACACTGATAAAGTCCCCTCACACTATGTTGGGTGATGACACCAAACTCTTATCTTGGGTTTAAGATGTTCTGCCCAGCCCAGCCGCTGTGGCTCAGTGGTTGAGCATTGACCCATGCACCAAGAGGTCGCTGGCTTGATTCCTGGTCAGGGCACATGCCCAGGTTGTGGACCTGATCCCCACTGGGGGCATGTAGGAGGTGGCCAATCCATGTTCTCTCTCATCGATGTTTCTATCTCTCTCTCTCCTCCTTTCCTCTCTCTGAAGAAAAAAATATTTTTAAAAGATGGTCTGCTTGGAACCCCTCCTCTTGCAATCAACCGGGCATTCTTTAAAAAAAATTTTTTCTTCACTGATGTTAGAGAGGAAGAGAGACAGAAACATCGATGAGAGAGAACATCTACTGCCGCCTCCTGCATGCCCCCACTGGGGATTGGGCCCACAACCTGGGCACGTGCCCTGACCAAGGATCAAACTGGAGTCCTCTTGGTGTCTGGGTTGATGCTCAACCACTGAGCCACACCAGCCAGGCTCAACTGGGCACTCTTGCTGCGGTTAACACTCATAGCCTCCTGGGGTCTCCCAAGGTTGCACATCTGGGATTACGCTGTGTGGGGTGAAGGCGATGAGTGTCACTAATCAGTGAAGGAGGTCCACAAAGAGCCCCTTGCTTTTCACCTTCCCCTGCCAAAGCTGTCCTGGGTCGGGGGAGGGACAGGCAACCCACCTCAGCTCCTCCAAGTTGGTGGCAGCGTTGAGAGTCTTGGAAAGGTGATAGCAGCCACTGTCACCAATGTTGTTCCTACTCAGGCTGGAGAAGCAAGGAACAGACCAAGAAGCCTTTGTCAGGAGTAAAGGTCTTTGCAGGTGCTGTGCTAGGAACTCTATGGTCTGCAGAGCCTTTAATCATCAGGGAACCCATAAGCCAGTCATAAAACTGCAGGACTGTACCCACTGTCCAAGAGAGAAAACAGAGGCCCAGGGAGGAGCTGTGACCGGCTTAAAGACTCCCAGGGCCAGGCTGGTGTGACCCAGCACTTGAGCGTCGACCCACGCACCAAGAGGTCACCAGTTCGATTCCCAGTCAGGGCACATGCCCGGGTTGTGGACCTGATCCCCACTGGGGGCATGCAGGAGGCGGCCAGTCGATGTTCTCTCTCATCGATGTTTCTCTCTCTCTCTCCTTCTCCTTTCCTCTCTTTCTAAAATCAATTAAAAAAAAATTTTAAAGATTCCCAGGGACTCCCAGGCTCCTGCTGGCCTGGGAGCGGAAGCCACATGTTCTAGTCTGGCCAGGCTTTGCCACCCTGCGCCGGGGTCTCCAGGCCAGCCCAGCTGAATGCCACTTTCACGTGGGTTCCAGCTCAGGCAATATAGCTTCTCCAGGCATCGCTGGCTGATCTGCGCAAATGGTGGGTTTTTCCTTTAACCCAGCCTATTGTTTTTTCTGAACCCTGCCTGAGCCCTGTCTCTGTGAGTGGAAAAAATAAAACAGCCCATGCACACTTAGCCCCACGTTAAATATTTGTCTGAGGGTTGTTTTCTTTTCTTTTGTTTTGCAAATTAAATTTTAGCCAACTGCCTTCCATTAAATTAAATGATGGGTGAAGTGATATGCTCCCCCAGACTCTCTGACCTCATTTCCCACGCACTCTGCACTGCTGTGGGGAGGGCGGGTTTGGATAAAAACAAAGCGATGCTTTGTGTCATGCTCTGGTTTGTTCCTAATCATTTATTTTATATTTTGAAAACAGTTACATGAAAAGAGCGTGTGGCATTTGTTTATCAAAGTGGCCAGAGGCACAGGGGAGACTACGAAGGTCACCGGATCTGGATCTAGGATCAGTGATTTTCGACCAGTGTGCTGCAAGAATTCTCATGTTGTTGTTGTTGTTGTTAATTCTCACCTGAAGGTATTTTTTCTATTGATTTTTAGATAGAATATAAGGGACTGGGGGAAGAGAGAGAGAAAGAGAATCATTGATGAGAGACACATTGTTGGTTGCCTCCTGCACGCACCAAAACTGGGGCTGGGGATCGAACTTACAACCCAGGTATGTGCCCTTGACTGGGAATCGAACCTTTTGGTGCACGGGCCAACACTGCAACCACAGAGCCACACTGGCCAGGGCAAGAATTCTTTTTGCTGTTGTTGTTAATTCTCACTCGAGGATATTTTTCCATTGGTTTTTTGATAGAGTGGGAGGGAGGGAAGGAGAGAGAGAGAGAAACACTGATGTGAGAGAGACACATCAATTGGTTGCTTTCTGTGTGACCCCCAATCAGGGTCAGGGATAGAACCTGCAATCCAGGTAACGTGCCCTTGACTGGGAATCAAACCTGAGACCCTTCGGGCCTAGGGCTGACGCTCTAACTGCTGAGCCAAATCGGCCAGGGTAAGAATTCTTAAGACAATCAATACCTTCCCTGACCAGGTTGCTCAGTTAGTTAGTGTCATCCTGATACTTGGGGATTGTGGGTTTGAACCCCAGTCAGGGTACATACAAGAATCAACCAATGAATGCATAAATATGTGAAACAACAAATTGATGTTTTTCTCTCTTTCTCTCAAATCAATCAAAAATTAAACAAAAATAAAACATGCAATACCTGACTATTTAATCAGGGGCACTGACCTATTTTACCTTAGATGGTCAAATAGAAAGACAATAGTCGTCTGGTGTGAATGTATCAAAATTATGCCTATTGTTTTTTTGTCAGATTGGTAAGAAATATATTTTTTGGTGTGCCACAGAATTTCAGTGATTATTGATGTATGCCATGAGATGAAGCAGGTTGAAAATTGCTGGTCAAGATCTTCGTTACTCAAAGTGTGGCCTGTGGTATACCCAGGCCACCCAGAATAGGTATCGCGTGGGAGCTTGTTGGAAACACGGAAGCTAGGCGACCCAGAAACGGGGCCCAGAACCAGGGTGCGTTTGTGCACATGAAGGGTTCGTCTAGTACCCAACCCCTCTGGTCACTTTTGTAGCCAGGAGAAAGCTGGTGACATTGACAGGCAGCTGTGCCCCCCCCTTCCCCCCAGCAGGATACAGGAATGTCCCGAGGACAGGAGCACGCAGGGTCCCCAGGGAGGTGCCCCTCAATAGAGCTGTGGAGGGAGTCCTCCCACTCATCCCCACGAGTTTATCCGTCACTCACCAGAGGCTCTGCAGGAGGGTCATGTGGCTCAGTCTTTGAGTGAGAACAGCCAGGGTGGGGTCGCCCAGGGGGAAGTGGCTGAGGCTGGAGAAGAGGCCAGAGGAGGACTTGGCATTGATGCGGACCGAGGCCTGTCCAGTCCAGTTGCTCGAGGCCTCAGTGCTCGGCAGTGCCCAGGGGCTGCCCAGACAGCCACTTACATCCGCACCAAACCAAACTGCCCTGGGAAATCCCAACGCTCGCTCCCTGCACGAATAGCAAGGCCATCCAAGCAGCAGCTGTTTCTGAGTCACACTGGACTCACATCAGTAACCAGAGCGACCACAGAGCCAGCAGAGCTGATGGGCCCAGCCGGGCGCAGGGCCATCCTGAGAGGTGGGTCTGTTATCGTCCCTATTTTACAGTGAGTAACACTGAGGCTCAGAGAATTACAGAGCTCTGTCAAAGTCACACACAGAGTAGCAGCATCAGGAACAGAACCCAAGGCTGTAGGACTTCTGTTCCTGGGCCCCAACCACGTGTTACTCACGGGATCCCTTTCCTCTTGGCCCCCAGCCTGGGCAGGACAGGGGTGTCATAACAATAATAGCTAATCCCCGTCAAGTGTGAACTCTGCACCAGGCACTGACATGTATTTATCCCACTTAACCCTCCGACCACTCTAGGAGGCAGGTTCTGCTATTACCCCAAAGTTAAAATAAGGAAAAAAGCACAGAGAGGTTAAGTAACTTGTCCAAGCTCACTCATTAAGAGGTGAACTGAAAGAAACAACTGTCTTTACTTAAAATCAAAGGGTTTTTCTAGAATGTGGGGCCTTCAGCCCCGGGAAAACTGGGACAGTTAGTCACCCAACTGGTGTTGAGCCCGAGTGGTGTGACCCCTAACCAGGGTCCATGCCCCTGACCATTCACTACAGAGGGACAGGTGGGAGACATCGGCTGGGTCCGAGGTCACAGAGGGACACTTAGAAACAACAGGACTCCGGAGGAGGCCTCTGGGCAGTGAGGAGTCATCCCCTCCTTCAGACAGGAAAGGTATCATCATGCCCACGTTAAAGATGGGTTGACTGAGGCGGTGAGAGGTGAAGGAGTCACAAGAAAGGGCAGCGGGTCTGTCCTGTTCTCTGCAGTCCCTCTAGCTCGGGGTCCTGGCCCAGGCGCCCAGGTGAACACACACTTGTCAAGTGTATGAATGAGCCAATGAATGACCTCACTGGGCCTCCAACCTTCCAAATAAAAGCTTCCAGAAGGCAGGGAGGCTGAGCAGAGGGCAGGCACATTGGGGAGGACAGTTCAGTGGGACAACAGGTGAGCCTTCTGGTCAAAGGTCTCTTCATACCACCCCCATCCCTGGGGCAGAGGCCCGACGTGGGAGACTTCCATCGTTAAGGGCAACGTCAGAAGGCTGCTTTTGAGCTGTATTCAAAACACACGTTGAGCCCTGGCCGGTTTGGCTCAGCGGTTAGAGCATCGGCCTGCGGTCTGGAGAGACCCGGGTTCGGTTCCCGCTAAGGGCACGTACCTCGGTTGCAGTTTGTCCCCGGCTCTGGTTGGTCGTGCGGGTGGCAGCCACTCGATGTGCCTCTTTCACGTCGATGTTTCTCTCTCTCTCTCTCTCTCTCTCTTCCTCTCTCTCCCTCCCACTCTATCTGTGCAAAAAATGGAAAAATGTCCTCGGGTGAGGATAAAAAAAAATAAAAAATAAACAAAACACACGTTGAAGAGAATCTGGAGAAAAGTTCACCAACGGCTCTTTCACAGCCGGCTTCCCAGGGGTACCGCCCTCGGGGGATTTCATATCCTTTGTTACATATCTCTACCATGATGGAACTTTTTATAAATAGTGTGTATTTTTGGTCATTGGAAAAACTTAGAGATTAAAAGCAGAAGATGCCCTGTTAAATTTTCCATCGGAATGCTGTCAAGTCTGTGCAAGATGGGCCCCTGTCCGCTAGGCTGAGGCTGTTTCTGGCATTTCTAAGAATTCGATAACTCCAAATTACAGGTGACAGTACGCTGCCAGTACCTAAAAAAAGACGGTAAGCAAATGGCAGCGACATCTGTGGACTTTTCTCTGCCCAGATTTTGTTTTCCTTTGTTCTGATAATAGCATCCTGAAATACCACTCCCCACGAAGTCCAGATCACTGGGTGGACACATGACCCAGATCTGGCCAATCCGAATACTGTGTGTTCAGAACCACAGTGATTGGTTTAGAAAAGGGCATGTGGCCCAAGCTAGGCCTAGGGTCTTTGTGTCAGTTTCTGGGAGAAAGGTGCTCCCTCCCACTAAGCTGGAAGAAAGTAAGCCTGTAGCTGCAGGGACAGTCTGCCTGCGAATGAAGTCAGGATGGAGAGAGAGACAGGGATGGGGGTGGAGGGGTGGAGGGATCAAATCTGGAACCTGGATCCAGGCCAGCCTGAGGCCAGTTGCCTTGTAAGTTTCTGAGACATGAGCCCATCCTTTCTGGCATGGGTGGGCAGGAATGAGCACTGTTTCCTGTGATCAAGCACTTTGTTAGGCTTGGAGCCAGGTAAGGAAGTAAAAAGCAGGGCATTCAGCTTAGCGGGTCCATTCAGGGATTGGACAGTTTGTACTCACCAAAGATGCAAAGGCTCCCAGGCATGTTCCCAACAGTCCCCCTCCCTACAGCCACCCCCTCCATTAACCACACCACTTACTCAAGCCTCTTCAGCCAGAACTTGCCTTCAAGGACCCCCATCAGCACCCTGGAGCCCTCCTCACCAAGCTCATTGTTAGAAAAGCTGTTGGGGACCAGGCAAGAGGTGAGCGTTAGACAAGCCTGCCCAGCCCTGGAACCGAGCTGTCTCGTCAGTACCCTTCCCCTCAGTTCCCCTAGGAGCTGATCCTAGACCACCCCTCCTGTCCAGGCTCCATGAGGGCATCCCTGGCTCCAACAGTCAGGCTCTGGGGTCCTTGAAGAGGGGGCGTGGTGGTCACAACTTACCTGGCTAAGAAATGATGCCCTGAGTGAGGGCTGCAAAAGAGAGGGTAGGGACGAGGGGCGTGCGCGGACACACACACACACTCACACACTCACACACACTCACACTCACACACACACTCGCACACACTCACACTCACACACTCTCACACACTCACACTCACACACACACTCGCACACACTCACACACACTCACACTCACTCACACACTCACACTCACACTCACACACACACTCGCACACACTCACACTCACTCACACACTCGCACACACTCACACACACTCACACTCACTCACACACTCACACTCACACTCACACACACACTCGCACACACTCACACTCACTCACACACTCGCACACACTCACACACACTCACACACTCACACTCACTCACACACACACTCACACACTCTCACACACTCACACTCACTCACACACACACTCACACACACACACACACTCACACAATGATCTTTTCTGTTCCTCAGCTCTCTCTGTACCTCAACACCCACAGCCACCCTGGGTCGAGAGGGTTATGATTCGTGTGAAGATGAGGCCGCCCCGGCCTAGAGAGGCAGTTATTCGCCCAGGAGCACTCTGAGTGAGTGATAAAGTGGGGACCAAGAACACAGCTCTCAGCCTTCCTCGGGCCTCACCCAGAGCTGCTGGGCTTCATCAGGGAGAAAAATGATCCGCTGTGGTCTGCGGCTCACCTTCCCAAGGCCACCCCTCTCCCCCTCCTCTCCACCACTGTCCCTCCCCAGCCCCTCCCCACTGAGACTCACTCCAGCTCGTCCAGGTGGTGACAGTGGCTCAGACCAGATGCCAGGTGGGCCAGGCCCTCAGAGCTCACACAGCTGGAGGCCAGCCTGGTGGGGGTCAAAGGGCAGCAGGTCAGGCAGGAGCTCTGGGTCTCCAGAGCTCTGACTGTTGCTGGTAGAGGGCAAGGGAGTGGGGGGGCGGTTCCCTGGGCCATTGGGGGGGGGGGGCTCCTTTCCTTCATAAATCTCTTCCCCCATGGAGGTGGGTGGGGGGTGGTTCCCGGGGCCATTGGGAGGCCTCCTTTCCTTCATAAATCTCTCCCACCATGGAGGTGGGTGGGGGGCGGTTCCCTGGGCCATTGGGGGGGGGGCTCCTTTCCTTCATAAATCTCTTCCCCCATGGAGGTGGGTGGGGGGTGGTTCCCGGGGCCATTGGGAGGCCTCCTTTCCTTCATAAATCTCTCCCACCATGGAGGTGGGTGGGGGGCGGTTCCCGGGGCCATTGTGGGGGAGAACTCCTTTCCTTCATAAATCTCTCCCACCATGGAGGTGGGGGTGGTGGTTCCTGGGGCAATGGGGGGGCTCCTTTCCTTCATAAATCTCTCCCACCATGGAGGTGGGGGGGGTGGTTCCTGGGGCAATGGGGGGGCTCCTTTCCTTCATAAATCTCTCCCACCATGGGATCAGTAAGTCGAGATACAGCTTGGAGACAGGAGCATGGACTAGTTGATTATTTTCCTAAACAGTCATCATTCAGATGGCAACTCCACAATTTATGCCATAATCGGGCATCACTATAAAACCTAGCTAATTACTGTCATTTTTCATGAGCTCCACACCTTTACTTCAACAACAACAAAAGTAGCCAGTATTGGTGCTAAAGATATATTGGCAAAAGGAGACTTTCTCCTTGATGCAACCAGCTGGGTTACCAGAACTGAATGTTAGAAAAGCTTCACTCTGCAACCATCATACTGGTATTTGATTCAGGTAAGAGTTACCAATGAATGACAAATTTTCATGCGTGAAAGTTTGAGGCAGAACAGGATGTCTACATAGACTTCAAGTAGCTCCATTAAAGATCCTTATAATTAGAAAGGGGAAAAATAGATGAACCTGGCAGATGCCACCTTAACCAAGTGATCACAGTTACTATCACTTCGGTAAGGGGACAGATAGGCATCATGTATCTCCAGATGTGATGCTCTGAGAACACAACAGAACCCCTGTGACATTCCTGTCCTAAGTCTAAGCATGAGGAAACATCAGAGGAACCCAAGCTGAAGGGCAGTCTACAAAATAATTGGCATGTAAGTGTCATGACAATATCATGAAAGACAAAGAAGGGCTGAGGACCTGTTCCAAACTGGAGGAGACAAAGAGAGATGACAACCAACTGCAGTGTGTGGTCCTGGGTGGAATCCAGGACTGGGGGAAATGCAATAAACATTACTGGAATAACTGCAAAACTGGAATATAAGCTGTAGTTCAGATCATAGAATTGCATCAGTGTTAAATTTCCTGAATTTCATGTTTTTACTGGATTATGGCAGAGAATGTCCTTGTTCTTAGAAAATTCACTGAAATATTAAGGGATGAAGGGGCATGACCATGCTACTTACTTTCAAGTGGTTGAAAGAAGAGGAAAAGAGGGAGAGGGGAAGAAACGAGGGGAGGGGTGAGGAAGCAGGGAGGGGCAAAAAGAGCAAATGTGAAAAAAATATTGACAAAGGCTGAATTTAGAAAAATGGCATATGGAAGTTCTCAGTCTTCTTGCAACTCTTCTATTAGGTTGCAATTATTTCCAAATACTTTTTTAAAAAAGAAAAAGTATGGAAAAGGGAATTTCTTTCTTGCCTTGTGGCCATGTCTATGACCACATACCCTGACATCATTTCCAGGACTGAGTTGTGGTCCCAGCCCCCAGGGTATGGACACAGAGCTCCTCCGAGCTGGGGGGGAGAAGAGGGGAGTGGGGGGAGCAGGGCAGAGCATGGGGGCCTGAGTGACTGTCTCTGCATACCTGAATGTCTTCAGTGTGCCGAGGGATGGCAGGAAGCTTCGCAGCAGCAGGGAACTGCTCTGGCAGAGGTTCACCTGGGACAAGCTGAGAGGCCAAGCACATTCCAGAGAGTTTCCGACTGGACAAACTCAGGGGTCATCAAGCCCATGGAGATGGGGAGGCCAAGAAAGGGGAAAGGACCACCCAAGAGCTCCCGATGGGGCAGGGTCCCCTTATGCCACCCTGGGGCTGTCCCCCACCGGCCAACTGTGATTCTCTCCTGCACAGGGAAGCAGGAAAGCCAGGGTCTGGCACTGCCCCAGGCTCTGTTCATCCTTCTCCTGGCCTGGCCAGCCTTCACAGGAGGCCTGCAGTGGGCCCAGACATTTCGGGGTGCTGACCTGAGCTGCCGCAGCCAGGTGCATGTCTGCATCAGCTGCCTGACAAGAGGACTGTGGTGGGTCTCAAGGTCACAGTGAGCCAACCTGGAAGTAGACAGAGAGGCAGCAGGTTCTGAACACCTGGACCAGTATCAGGGACTCAGTCCCTTACCTTGAAGCGGTATATAAATACTAATCAATAAAGTTCCACAATTTACTCTTCAGTTACGGGAAGTGCTATGATGGAGGGGCCCCGATGGGGGTGGTGCGGTGTGCAGGTCCTTCACCGCATGAGGGCACTCAGCCAAGGAGGTGAGTTGGGGCTGAGGTACAACTATGGTTTGTTCTCCAGAATGTATACTGCAGGGCTGCATTCATCCATGAGGGGTGACACTTAATTTCCAAGAGTGGGTAATGGGAGGACTTGACAATGTCTGGGGGTTCAGAGGGGCCTTCCTGAGGTGGTAGCATTTAACCTGAGGCCTGAAGGAAGAGAGGCAGTTAGCCAAGTGAAGGAGGAGGAAGAGGGGACGAGCGAAGAGAACATTCTAGGCAGGGAGCCACCTGTGCAAAGCCCCTGAGGTCAAAGGGAGCAAGGTGGTCTTCGGGGAACTGAAAGCTGAGTCAGGGTTGGGGTGAGGATGGACAGCATGAGAGGCAGATTAAAGCAGACCTCATGGGCCACGTAGCGACTTTGGACATCAAAGGACTCTGAGCAGGGGCACGAGAAATACTGGTCAGAAGCAGCAGTCCCTAACCCATCACCAACCACTCGCTTGGGGCTCCGGGAACGGGGTCCCACCTGAGGACCACGGCCTCCGCGCTCTCCTGACGGGGAAATTTCAGCTGCACGCAGAGCTGGCTCTCGGAGATGCTGAGGAGGGAAGAGGGGCCAGTGTGAGGCCCGCGGCAGCTTTCCTGTGTTGGCTGAGCGGGGTCCAGGCTGCCCTGAGCTCCCAGACCCAGGGTAACCTAGACACAGGTCAGTGGGACACCAAAGCCCTTGCTCTTAGGTACTCCACATCGTTCTGTCACCCCTGGTCACGGAGCCACAATGTATGTTACTGCAATCCAGGGGCCACTTCTAGGCAACCCGTGGGCCTCCCAGCCGGATCACCTGGGATCCAACAGCCCTGTGTCTTGATCCGGGCTGCCTTCCTCTTCCTGGCACTGAGCCTGACTGCTGCACCCGCCCCAAGCGTGTGCAGCCCCTCATACGTGCCCCGGGAGCTCCTGCCGTCTTGGGGACCCAGAGAACTCACTAGTGGGATGGCTATTACCCCACAGGACAGGAGACTAACGTCTAGTGAGAGAAGGTCCCAATGGTCATGAGACGGTGAAGAATTCAGAGGGGGCTCCTCCCTGGACTCACTTCATTTCGGTGACGCTGCCTGAGGCCTGGGCGCAGACTTGTAGCAGGGTGAACAGCCCAGCTCTGCTCATCCACGGCTCCTCCACCCTGTCACAGAAGTGGGTACAGATAAAGGTCCCCCTGGGTAAGCAGAGGGAGGGAGGAGAGTGCCAAGGGAGTCCTAGAGGCTTTTTGGGGCTTTGCTTATTTTAAAGGTATAAAATTATTCAAGTAGGCATAAGCATAACACAGGAAATTACATTCTCATTCCAACAGTTATTGCAACAATCCCAACAGAAAATGTTATTTTTTAAATAATATTTCAGATTAAACAAAAGATCCACATAATGTTACACTGCAAAGAGAAGGAGATAAAACTGTGTATAAAACATGATTTTAATTTCTTACTTGAGAAAATAAAAAATATATATGGAGAGAGAGAGATGAGGAAAATATCTTAAATGTTCACTTATGGTAGTTGTTTAGATGGTGAGATCTCTATGATGGTTTTAATTTTATTTCTTCTTTAATTTTCAATATTTTCTGGACTTTCTAAATATGCATACATTAACTTAGACACAGGAAAAAGAGAGTTGTTTAAAATATGTCTGCTTTTAAAGTTTATACATAAAATTTTATTTTTTCATCAATCCTCACCAGAGGATATGTTTTTATTGATTTTAGAGAGAGAGGAGGTGGGGGGAGAAACACCTATCGGTTGCCTCTTGTAAGTGCCCTGACCGGCAATCAATCCCACAACCTTGTGGTGTGTGGACAACACTCCAGCCAACTGAGGCACCTGGCCAAGGCTGTATTGTATTTAAAAAAAAAAAAATTTTTTCTTTATTGATTTTTAGAGAGAGAAGAAGGGAGAGGGAGAGGGAGAGAGAGCTAGAAACATCGATGAAATAGAACATCGGTTGGCCGCCTCCTGCATGACCCCCACTGGGGATTGGGCCCACATCCTGGGCATGTGCCCTGACTGGGAATCGAACCAGCCACCTCTTGGTGCATGGGTCGATGCTCAACCAATAAGTCACACTGTCTGGGTTGTATTTTTTTTTTTAGGTACTATTTTCTTCTTATGCTCTTATGTACTTTTCCACAAATTTCTACAATTAATATATTTTATTTTTAGAGTAAGAAAATTTTATTTAAAATTTTTTTTTCTTTATTGATTTTAGAGAGAGAGGAAAGAATAGAGAGAGATAGAAACATCAATGAGAGAGAACATCAATTGGCCACCTGTTGCATGCCCCCCACTGGGGATTGGGCCTACAACCTGGGCATGTATGTGCCTTGACCGAAAATCGAACTGGCAACCTCTTGGTGCATGGATCGATGCTCAACCACTGAGCCACACCGGCCAGGCAGAAAAGCTGTATTTTAAAATGTTATTTTAGGCCCTGGCCGGTTTGGCTCAGCGGTTAGAGCGTCGACCTGTGGTCCAGAGAGACCCAGGGTCGGTTCCCACTAAGGGCACGTACCTCGGTTGCAGTTTATCCCCGGCCCTGGTTGGGTCGTGCGGGTGGCAGCCACTCAATGTGTCCCTTTCACGTCGATGTTTCTCTCTCTCTCTCTCCCTCCCACTCTATCTGAACAAAAAATGGAAAAAAAATGTCCTCGGGTGAGGATAAAAATAAATAAATAAGTAAATAAATAAATTAAATGTTATTTTCAGTGACTGAAAAATTCTGGGTGCATAACCAAAAAAATTGAGGGCAGAGATACAAAGAGATATTTGTACATTTATGTTCATAGCAGCATTATTTACAACAAGCAAAAATAGAAGCAACCCAAGTATCTATCAGTGGATGAATGGATGAACAAAATGTGGTACATACATGAAATGGAATAGTATGCAGCCTTAAATAGAAAGAAAATCCTGACACATGCTACAACACGGATGAACCCTAAGGACATTACGGTACGTGAAATACGCCAGTCACAAAGAGACAAATACTGTATAATAGCACTTCTTTGAGTTCCTAGAGTCGTCAAATCCATAGCGACAGAAAGGAGAAGGGTGGTTGCCAGGGGCTGGCGGAGGGGAATGGGGAGTTACTGTCCAGTGGGGCCAGAGTTGCAGTTTTGCTAGAAGAAAAGTGTTCTGGAGATGGATGGTGGTGATGGTTGCACAACAAGGTGAGGGTACTTAACACTACTGAACTGTACATTTGAAGATGGCTATGATGGTCAATTTGGGGGAATAGCAGACAATGTGCCTCATCGCAGGCTGCAGTGAGATGTGGCCAGCCCTGGACACGAAGCATGTTTTTGACACAAATGTGTAACTGAACCACAGCCAGCCTTTTTTTAAAAATCCTCACCCCAGGATATTTTTCTACTTATCTTCAGACAGTGGGAGGGAGAGAGGGGGAGAGAAAAGGAGAGAGAAACATCGATTGGTTGCCTCCTGCACGACCCTGACCAGGGCTGAGGACAAACCACAACCCAGGTATGTGCCCTTGGCCGGAATCGAACCCACGACTCATTGGTACGCGGGCCGACACTCTACCGCTGAGCCAAACCGGCCAGGGCAACACAGCCAGCCTTTTGATCTAAATTCCAGTTCCAGGAACGTCAGGGGTTAGAGGAACAAATTCGAAGACATCATGATGAAACAACCAGACTGAGTCAGAAAGTGGGTCAGTCCACGGCGCAGTAGGGGGTTTGTCAACAGGCTCTGCAGTGAAAGAGGAAAGTGGGGGTGACACGGATTAAGGGTCCTAAGAGCCATCACTCCATTCCAACCAACCATCAGTTCAGTTATTACACTGCTGCATCCTGGATCCCACAGGCCAGCCTTCCACAGGCGGACAATGGGACCTGGTAGATGGGACCAGGTAATACATGGCGCCAAGGAGTCGCTGCTGAGTTTCATAGGTGTCCTCGTTCAACTGTGAGTCTGTAGAAAATGTCCTTATTTTCTAAAGATTCATGGTGAAATATCTGAGTGATTTTTAAAATATGTTTTTATTGATTTTCTTAAGAGAGAAGAAGGGAGAGGAATAGAATCGTCAGTGTGAGAGATACATCTTTCGGCTGCCTCCTGCACGCCCCCTACTGGGGATTGCAACCCTGGCATGTGCCCTGATTGGGACTTGAACCGGGACCTCCCAGTCCATGAGACAACACTTAATCCACTGAGCCACACCAGCTGGGCTATCTGAGTGATATTTGATGAGATCTATAACTTACCTTAAAACACTTCAGCCAAAATAAAAATGTGAAGCAAATTTAGAAAAATATGAACCATCGCCATACCTAGGTGATGGGAATACGAGTTTTCAAAATGATTCTACTTTTGGTATCTTCTCTCTTTTTCTGAAAGTTTTAAAATGACTGTAGTGAATGAACATGCTATTGATTATATGCTATTTTTTACCTCAGCTGGGTATCCTTTGGAGTTTTGTTTTGTTTTTCTTAATTCCCCAAGCACAGGCCCTGCCCTGGAGAGGGGGCTTCTCTGTGTGCCTGGGAGGGTCTCTGGGAGAATGGGCAGGGCAGCTCGGTGTCCAGGTAGCAGGGTTCTGGGTGCAGGAAATGGCCAGGGCCACGATCCTGGGGGCCCACGCCAGTGCCCGCCCCCGCCCTTCGTTCACCACTCCCCCGCCAGGGACACAGGATGACGATACCTGAGACGGAGCAGTCCCACTGGCCACCTCACCAGACTCAGGAGAACGGGCAGGTCTTTCAGGCCCAGGCAGCACTGGCTCAGCCTGGGACAGAGGTAGGTTACGACTGTGGCTCTGGTAGGGCCCCCACCCTTCAGCTGCCCCATAGGCTGGGCCCAGTAACTCACGTGAGCTCCGTCAGTCGCCAGGCCCGGCTCAGGCCAGCGGCCAGTCTGGTCATGTGCTCCGGCCCGAAGCTGCACTTTCCCAGCCTGAGGGAAGAGGGCACGGATAGAGGCAGAGGCCTGTCAAGGCTGCTGTCCTGCTTCCTCCCGGTCCCCCAACCAGGGCCTGTGGGGGCCCCCACTGAGTGCAAAGGCCTGGATCAGGGCCTGAGAAAAGGCCAAAGGGCAGCTCCTGTCCTGGGAGCTTCCAGTCTCTTTGGAGACACTGTCCCCCAAGAAAGTGCTAGAAGTGAGTCACTGAGCCCTGACTAGGCCGGCGGCGCCAGCCCCAGGGCAGCAAGCAGGCACGCCGACCTCGCGTACTCTCTCGTTGAAGTCCAAGTGTCATTGCTGGTGGAGAAACGGCCGACCCGAGGACTCAGACTTGGTCAGAGTAAGGGCAGAATTGGGTTTCAGTCCCTCTCAGCCTACTCTAGACCCAAACCCATAACTCTACCCTCCTCTCGCCTTATTCTAGGCTCCCTTGGAAGGAGGGCCTGGGACTCTCTCTGTGGCCCTGCCTCGCAGCCCTGTGTGGCCAGCAGACAAGCCCCCGGCCAGGCCTCATGGACAGGCTGAGGAGGGCCCCACACAGCCCAGGGCTGTTCATGCAGACAGACAGGGCCGCTGGTTCTCCGGGAGGGCTGACACCTGGGCTGGGTCTGCAAGGACGGGAGCCTTTCATTTCAGAAAAGGCAGGAGAGGGAATGTCAGGCTGAGCGCCCAGGGCCAGGGATGCTTCCTCGGGAGTGTGTGTTCAGTGAGGGAGGAGCAACGATGGTCCCTTGTGGCTGAACACGTGCTGATGCGTGTTGTGTGTGGGGGTGTGTGTTGTGTGTGTGGGTTATGTGTGTGTGTTGTTTGTGTAGTTTGTGTGTTTGTGTGTAGTGTATGATATGCGACGTGTGTCTGTGTGGTGTGAGCGTGGTGTGGTATGTGCATATATATGGTATGGGAGGTGAGGAAGAACGTGTTAAGAGGTGACAGTCAAGTCAGACTGTGAGGGAGACCACCAGGCTAAGGAATTTGAACTTGGTCTTGGGGGCAATGGGGAGCCACTGAAGGGCTTGGAGCAGTGGAGTGGAGTAGCACAATCAGATATGTGTGTTGGGAAGATCCCTCTAGATGTTGTGGGGTGAATGGATTGGAGGAGGCCTGGTCAGGGCCAGTGGACCAGTTTGGAGGCCATGATCATAGCTGAAGTAAGATGATAGAGCGCTCACATGAACCAGGCCCTTTCCAAGAACTTTATACATAATAACTCATTTAATCCTCACAATAGCCCTAAGGGGGATGATCCTATTATTACCCCCATTTTACAGACGAGGAAATGAAACACAGAGAGGTTAAGTCACTTGTCTAAAGTCACACAGCGATACGTGGTGGAGTTGGTGTTTATCCCCATATGGCTCCAGAGTCTAAGCTCTTAACCATGACACTCAGAAGCCTCCAGACCTATAGTCAGGACATGGCTAAGAGGCACAAATACAATGCGAAGGCCTGGTCCGGGGGCTGGAAGTGTGGGGGCACTGGGGGCAGATGAGGGGCAGTAAGCATGAAGCAGGCACGTGAAGGAGGAGAGGGCCCGGCAAAGGAGGAGGAATGGAGCCTCCACAGGGTCAGTACCCCCCGCCCTACTCCCTCCACCTTCCCCTCCCAGACCAGCACTTACCTCAATGTCTTCCCAGCCTCCTCCTGTCTCGAGAAGTGAATCCAGAAGCTTTGCTCAGAGCCCAGGCTGCAGAGAGAGGGGTATGAGGGGGCCAGAGGCTTGCCAGCATCCTCAGGCCCAGGCCCCGGGGGTGCCAGAGAAAAGGGGGTTGGGGCAGGGGCAAGGGAGGGGGAAGCCATGGAAGGAAAGGTTTTGAGGACCAGAGGAGACCCCAACCCACCTTGTGAGCACACTAAACCTGGCCTTTCCCACCCATGACCTCGGTCCCCATGGCATGTGCGTCTCAGAATATGGAAACTATGATCCCATGGGGTTCAGTGAACCGTGAGACTCGAAGGTTGGCCCAAGTCACACAGACGAAGGCTGCTAAGTGTGGGGTCTTGCTTCTCCCACCACCAGCAAGTGGCGCTAACATCTCCTTACTTCACAGAGGCCTCCCGGACACGTGGGCAGGAAGAGAGAGTTCCCATCAGGCATAGGACGCCTTCCTGAGAGATGCTGTTGTCACTCAGACTGGAAGAGAAACAAGGTTCAGCCTGGGGTATGGGGGCAGCACCTTAGTGGTGCCCTTCTCAGCCCCCTTGTCTCCCCTCCAGCTGTCATGCCAGGAGGAGAGTCCTCAGTGTCCAAGTGTCCATTCTCCAGGTGGAGACACTGAGGTCCACAGAGAGGCCAGAGGAGCCCTGTCCTCATATGGGCAGGATGGGCCCCAGACCCTGAGTCCGTGAGAGCTGCACCCTCTGTGCCTGCTGTCCTTTGGGTCTGGGACAGGGCACTGATGAGGCCAGGCTGGCAGCTCCAGCCCCACGCAGAGCACAAAGCTCAGTTGCCTAGCAACAGGTTGTACCTGGCTCTGGCTTCCTGTCTCCCAGGTCACTGAGGAGATCAGGGGAGAGTATGGATGACTTCCTGGGGACCCTCCCTGTTGTGGGGACATCTTCAAATCTGTGTCCCATGGATTCAATCAGAGGAGCTTCAAGGACGGCGTGGACCAGGGGCCCGGACAGCTAAGATTCCGTGTCAGCGGCTTAGGTATTAATGCTCTCTCGTTGCCCAGAGGCAGCTGGAGTCGCCAAGCTTTAGTTGCAGCCTCTCCTGGTTGTCTGGTAGGGGTCTTCCATGGTGGGCAATGAGAGACGAGGAAAGGACCCAAGGTGGGGGATGTCAAGGTAAGCATCACTCTCTCTAGGGATCCCTCAAAAGATTCCTCAAAATCCATGCTCTTGGCCCAGGGGAGCCTTTCTCCTTACTGTCCTTGACACTGCTCATCACTTACTTAAGAGAACCGGAGATGGGCAGCTGAGGCAGATGTTTCAGGAGGCGCCTGAGCCCTTCATCACCCAGCTGGTTGGCTGAGAGGCTGTAAGTGGTACAGGAGGTGGTTGAGGTCAGATGTGCCTCCTCCACGGGTGCCTGCTCTTCAGCTTCGCCCCTGCCACCCTGCCCATCCAGCACTCTCAGCACCACCTTCACTCACCCCCAACCAGTCAGTGCTGCTTCGTCCTGACTCCATCACCACCACCAGCTTGATCCCTTCATTATTACTTGAGTTGCCAAGCCCACCACCACCTCCACCATCACCTCCATTACCACTAGAATCATCACCAATGGTCACCACCACAACCACCATTGCACAACAGCTCCCGCGTCCCCGCCACCAGCCCCCTCACCAGCACCACAGTTAACCAGGCCTCATCTTCCCCTTCGGTATCTGCTGGCCACTGCCAGGCTTTCAGGAGTTACAGGGAACCAATGAGCTTTTACTACACCCTTGGCCCCGAATCAGTTGGGAGCTGCCATTTTGGAAAAAGAGCAAATTTAGTAAGACGGTATTTGAGGGACATTTACCCAACAGAGTTTCTCTTTTAATTTGAGACTGCAATATCGGAAATTGCACTTGAATGCTTTCTTACTTCCTTTCTTTGTAGCATTCTGTGGTTTTAGCTACAGTTTAGAAACAAGATAATCAGCATGTCCTAAAATGTCTGGTATGTGTCCTGGATCTTTGTCCCCGATTTTGACACTTCTGAGGCTTGTTTATTTCATCTTTTCCTGAGAAACTGTAAAAATTAGTTTGTCTCATGAAGCCCCTTACTAATCTTTAAGATAAGAAAATGCTCTGTACAAGAAAAAACAAACAGAAAACTCAAAGACATATTGCTTATCCCTCTTTCTTTAAAATATACGATTTCTATCAGCCACACTCTCTTCTTGGCCACATCATGACAGGAATTTACTTAATTATTTTTTGCACTCTCTTTAACTCCTACAGGCCCCACGCTGACTCCCTAACAGCTGTGGAGACTCTGCATTGTGACTTTGGACAGCCCTTAAAGTCGCTGAGCCTCGGCTCTCCCATGTACGAAATGGCGATAATAGTATCTGGGTTTGTTGAAAGGATGGGAAGACTATCTAAAGCACTTAGATCAGTGTAGAGGTGCTCAATAGGTGTCACCTATTATTATTTTTCTACCATGTGGGCCTACACTATTTGGGCACCCAAGACAGGCCACACAGATGCCACTTCTCAACAGTACGAGAGCTTCTGTGTCCCCACCCAGCTGGCTCCGGGGTCCTCTGCAGGCTGAGGCGCTTGGTATTTTCAAACCCCGGTCAGGCACCAATGGCTCCTTCATGTTAGTGTCCATCAGCCAGCAGAGCTTAGATGCCTTGATCAACACGAGGCCAAAGGGCTCCTTTGGCCTTTTTCGAAGGACTACCCAGATTAGATCAAGGGCACATGCTGAACTAGCTCCACCATGATGGAAGTGGGAGGTGTCGGGAGGGATAAAATGGGTACAGGGAAACCTTAAGGGTGTGACCCAGAGCCCTGGACATCCTGATAGCTGGTCCTGAGAGAGGTTGAGCACGGCGCGCGCGCGCGCACACACACACACACACACACACACACACACACAGCCTCCAGTGCCACCAGGTGCATGCTCCCAGACTTTTCTTCTGCTCCTCTTCCCCCACTTACTCCAGCTGGCGGATGTCTTCACACTTCCTCAGCAACTCGCACAGTGGCTCCACATGCTTCTCGCTGAGGCCGCAGCCTGTGAGCCTGCTGGGGGTGGGGCAACCAGCCGGGTGGGGTGGAGAGCCATGCACACCCACTCCGCCCTGGCTTGTCCGGGGTGCGGCCTCGCCCCAGCATCCATCACTTCCACCTCCCCCACAGCAGACCCCACCTGGCACCCCCTGCTCCCTCTGGGGAGGTGGTTCTCAAAGGGGGAACTTGCTAAGATGCAGTCTGGGGTCTCAGCCCAGACCACTGAATCACCTGGGGCCAAAGCTCTCCAGGTGACTCTGGTTCAAGCTCCAGTTGGAGAACCACAACTCTTGGATTTTTAATGAAAAGACATGGTGGGGAGAATAGGGTGAGGTCTGCTCTTAAACGGGGTTATTAATGCTGGAATTAAAAGGAATGGTAACTCTGCCTTTGAAAGGCCTAAAATAAGACGATACAATAAGGTAAAGGAAGAGCCTGTGACCAGCCAGCAACCGGGGGAAAAAAAGAACCTTAAAATTAGAAAGTTCCTAAAATCAATATTTCACATTTTTATCACTGTTGCTTTCCATTATTGTTTTCCCCACAGTCCTAAATTCCCTCTTATACTATTTTTACTTTCCATTTTTAAACCGGCTCATCCTTCTTGTTTAATTCGTTCATTGTAAAAGGGAACCCTGCATCACTCACTCAGCTGGGAAACTGGCATTTTGTGCCACAGACCGTGAGCATGAGAACACGCGAGAGCAAAACCCATCATTAAATTCCAGCCAGATACTGACACCTGCTGAGGGTTCTCTCTTTCTTAAAAGGGGAGCTTAGTGTTGGAGAGGGTGTTCAAGACCCACAAACACCCAGCTGAGACCTCCTCCTGGTCTTAGACAGAGGGGATCATGAATGACATCAGGAAGAACCCAATGGAGTTGAAGGACTCTGCTATCTGCCCAACCTCCTAAAAAGCACCCCACCCTGGTCTCCACCCTGTTTTGGAAAACTCTGACTTAGAAACTGTCAGAGGTCATGGTAGTGTCGGGCTAGGACAGGACTGAAAAAACTCCAGCTAAGGACACTTGTTTTTGTGTGGCCTGCAAACCCCCAGACACTTATCGTCTAACCCTTTACAGAACAAGGCCGTCTGCCCCGGGCCGGGAGTCCTGGGGGGCAGCCTGGCTTCAGTCCCCAGCTGCCCTCCTCGCCGCAGTGCCACGTACAGTGGCCGCAGCTGCGAGGGTACAGAAGTGATATGCACAAGGCTCCCAGGATGGTGCCCTGCAGCCCTGGCCGGGTAGCTCAGCTGGTTCGAGTGCTGTCCTATACCGGAAGGTTGTGGATTCGATCCCCAGTCAGGGTGCGTACAAGAATCAATGATTGCATAAATAAGTGGAACAACAAATCAATGTTTCTCTTTCTCTTTCTCTCCGGGAGCCAGTGGTGGAAATGTTACTTCTGCCCTGCAGTGCAGTGCCACCCCCTCTCGCCCAGAACCACAGACGCTGGTCGGGGAGTCAGTGGGGGGGGGGGGGGCACTGGCACCTGGACACTCAGGCCCTACAGGCTCTCACTCAGTCCTCACGGATGCCCTGCAGCATGGGTCTCCCTCTCCAGCTGCAGGAGCTGAGGGTCAGAGAGGCTGAAGAACTTGCCGAAGCACCAGGCCCTCGTGGAGCTGGGATTAAAGTCTGGTGGGCAGGTGGTGAAGCCCTTTTTCTTGAGTTCTCAGTTCTGGCCTAGTCTGATGTGTACTCCTTTGCCCTTGACAAAGCCCAGCCCCTCTGGAACCCTGCTGCTTCATGTTGGAGGAAAAAACAAGTCTCCTTGCAGGTCCTCCTGGGAACCACTGCACAGTCTCTGCCGTCTGTCTCTGGCCATCTGGGAGGCAGGTCTGCTGGTCCCGATGCCCACTGGCTGTCAGGGCATGGCTCTGGGGGACTTACCCACAGCGCCCGCCTTTCTGCTCCTTGCTAGCCTGGAAGTGCAGGGTGACATCATGCAAGGACCTGGAACACACAGGACCTGGGTCAGCCACCTAGACTACAGCCTCGGGATGCCCCCAGGACGCACCCCTCCTCCAGAAGCTGGGCCTCTGACTTGGGTCCTACTCTCTGCATCCTACCCCTCACACCCACCAGACTCAGGCACAACCCTCCAAGACCAGCCTCAGTAGCCCCAGGGCAATGCCCACCTGAGATCCACCTTCTGAACTCGTGGGCACAGGCTGAAGAGGTGAGCCAGCAGGAGCGGGCTCCTCGCGGACAGTGGCGTCTGGCTTAGCCTGAGAGGGAAAGGGGCAGGACCCGGAGTCAGCGAGTCAGAGCCCAGCAATATCAGTGGGTGAGGAACAGGACAGCTGGAGGGGAGGGAGCAGAGCTGGGAGGGCTGGCAGGTCAGCACAGCAACGAGGGAGGCGGGAACTCCAGAGGGGGCTTGGGGGTCAAGCAGACTTGGTTCTGCTTTCTGGTTGTGTGTCACTCAAGCTCTCTGAGCCTCAGTTTCCCTACCTGGACAACAGGTCACTACTCATGTTATGCCTCCCCCTGCATGTGTCCTGAGGGTGTAATGACGTTGGGTCCACACTGCCTAGCTGATACCTGTGCTTGCTATTATTCTATTGTTTCTCCCTCAACACAGACTTCACAGGCAGGTCTTGCCGACAGGGAGTAAGATGCTGCGTCTCCAGCACCCCAAACAGTGCCTGGCCCAAGGGGGTGCACCAGCACTGTGACTGAGGAATACAAAGTGTCAGCCCCGGCGACGGTCAGGCTGGCCACCTCGTTCCAAAGACAGATGCTGTGACTTGGGTGTAGAGAAGTCCCTCTCTGGTCTAAAGTTTTGCACCTGTTCATATTAACCCACCACCTTCTGTGTTCAAAGGAGCCCTGCCCGACCCGTTCTCTCCCCACAGGGTAGGACCAGAGCGGGTGCCCTGGGGGTTGTGAGCTCTGCAGCACTCGCCCACCTCCGGAAAGTCCCCGTCTCCCCGCCCCCCCCCAGGACTGGAGATCCTGGGTGCCATGTGGGCCGGGAGCTGTGTCAGGAGTCCCAGAGTTCCTTAGCGTTAGAACTTATGTTGCTACTATTAATGAAACGATTTCATTTCCTGTTGTATTTTTCCATCTCAGCTGCAGCTTTCCCTCCTGCTAGAAGATTTAAAGTAAATCCTTTTTAAATTCTAACCAGTCTGAGCTGAAACTAGAAAACAGAATTTTAAATACTTTAGGGGATGCTGCTAATTTCCCTTTTATGAAGTTTGCATGGTGACCTTTAAGAAAGGGTTTGTGACGTAAACATAACCTACATCTGTGAAGTCCCGCTCCACAGGCAGACTTTCCGTGGGTGGGGAGCAGTCACAGCCCACCTGTCACTGGCCAGTCATTCTTCTAGGTGCTTCTAAACTGGTAAGTACAGATACTACAGTTGATCTTAGTCAAAAGGCCAAGAAGCCATCTTCTAGGCGCTTTTACAACAGCTGTCTTGTTTGAGTCCTGTCCCTGGGGGAGGGGTTGGGGAACATTAATCCCATCTATCAGATGCGGAAAGTGAGACCCAGAGGGATCAAATAACCTCCCGAAGGTTGATAAAGTATGAGGAAAGAGCTGGAAGCAGACTCGAGCTCCCAGTGGTGACAGATAAATGCTGACACAGCTCAAGAGAAGGGGTGGGGTGTCTGCACAGAGAAATGGAGAAGACAGTCTTACTGCAGGAGGCTTAGCTGGGGGAGCCAGGGCAGGTGCCCCAGCAGGGTGTCCAGGCTCTGTTCGCTCAGCACCATGCAGGACAATCTGTGAAACAAAACATGGGAATGAGGTGGGAAGCCTTGGGGACAGCTAGGTCCAGGACCACACAGCCAGAGCCTTCTGGGCAGGGGTCCTAAACCAGGGTTGTGCCCTAAACATTCCCTCTGAATGCTAGGTCCCTGAGTTTGGGAAATGCTGGGTTATACAAATTTGTTTCCTTTGACTTGTCAAAAGAGTGCTTTTTGCAGTGCTTAAAAACAAACAAACAAACAAAAACGAACCCAAAGAGACACACAAAAAATATTGGAAGCAGTCTGGATGTCTGTCTAGACTGGGGGTGGGCAGAATAATTTGTGGTACATGCATACTGTGGAGGGTTCGTATCAAAAGGCATGTAAAAACAAACAAGGAGAATTAAACATTGATGGGCTATTTGATAATTTTAATATGTCATAAAATAAAGTTACTATTTTAGGGTCCTTATGACTTGGACTAAATATAGTTTTAAATCCTAGCTCTAAAAATCTCTCTCTCTCCATCTCTGTCTCTCCCTCTCTCTCTACCTCTAAGAGACCTAACCATTCCCTCGGATAATCAGCAACCCCCGAGGCAGCAGAAGACAGTAGCCCAGACCTGACTAATGGTCATGCTGTCTGGACCACTGCAGGCTAAAGATAACATCTTGACGTAAATTATGTTTTTTGTTTTTTGTTTTTGTTCAGGTAGAGTGGGAGGGAGAGAGAGGAACAGAGAGAGAGAGAGAAACATCGATGTGAAAGGAACACATCGAGTGGCTGCCACCCGCACAACCGACCAGGGCCGGGGACAAACTGCAACCGAGGTACGTGCCCCCAGCGGGAACCGAACCCGGGTCTCTCAGGACCGCAGGCCGACGCTCTAACCGCTGAACCAAACCAGCCAGGGCTTGACATAAATTATGTTTCAGCTCCTGAGCCATAAGGTAGGATGACTCCCTGGCTACTTTCCATTGAGATCAGACAGAGAGACATTGAAAAGACCCCAGAGCTGTCCTCAAGACCCAAAGAAATGATTTATTACCTCATCTCTGCCAACCAATCAGCTTCCAGCCCCCCCCCCCCAACCCCTCACCCTCTGTGTCTTGTGATTTTGTCCTATAGAATCTGTAATCTACACCCCATCAAGGAATTCTGCTTTTAACTTCCCGTTCTCCTGGACGGGGCCACTCATAATCAAATAGCCAGTCTCTCTCCCTGTAGTTCTCAGCATCTAATACTTGGCTCTACTAGCACCAGATGCACAAACTCATTCTGTCCTGTAATAATACTGGCTATGGTTTTGTTAAAAAAACAGAGCACTTCTCTTTTAGCTAAGCATACTGAAATATCTACAGATGAAATTATAAGGTGCCCGAGAGCTGCTTCGAAATGATGTGTGTGGCCCTGGCCGGTTTGGCTCGGCGGTTGGAGCGTCGGCCTGCAGTCCAGAGAGACCCGGGTTCAGTCCCCGCTAAGGGCACGTACCTCGGTTACAGTTTGTCCCTGGCCCTGGTTGGGTCGTGCGGGTGGCAGCCACTCGATGTGTCCCTTTCATGTCGATGTTTCTCTCTCTCTCTCTCTCTCCTCCTCCCTCCCACTCTATCTGAACAAAAAATGGAAAAATGTCCTCGGGCAAGAATTAAAAATAAAAAAAACAAAAACAAAATGACGTGTGTGGGGGTGTCTGCATATGCACATGTGTGTGCGAGTGTGTGCGTCTATGCATATATGTGTGTTGGGGCCATGGAGTGACAGATTATTGAGGGAGGTAGAGGGGAACTAAGGTTCGATCACACTATTCTCTCTGATTTTATATATGCTTGATAGTCTTCATAATCAAAGTGTTTTCATTAAAAAGCAACTTTACAACAATAAAATCTGACCATCAAGGTCAACATCAACAGTGATAAGTCAAGTCCACAGCACATGCCCTGAGATGGGATGAGGAGGGCACCTTACCTCCGTGGTATTTTTCCCTCAAATGCATAACCTCAGTCTAACCACGAGAAAAAAATCAGACAAATCCGAATTGAGGTTCATTTAACAAAACCCCAAAACTGTGAAGGTCATGAAAACCAAAGACAAATTGAAACCATGACTGGCCAGAGGAGACAAAGGAACGTGATGACCGAATGCAGGTGGGATCTGGATGGGATTCTGGGTCAGAGAAGGCATTTGCAGTAACACAGATGGGGTCTAAAGTCTGGAGTGCAGTTAGTAGTCATGTACCAAGATTAGTTTCTTAGTTGTGACAAATGTACTGTGATAATGAGTGATATTAACAACCTGGGGTTACTGGGTGAGGGAGCTTTCTGGATTTGCTTTGCCGCTTTTCTACAAATCAAGTGTCAAACTATTCTAACACAAATGGTTTAGTAAAGCACTCATTAGCTCCTCACGTCTTGATATTGCAGGAAGCCTCGCTGTGGGGTCCCGAGACAAAAGCTCAGTGCAGAGAGCTTAGGGGATACGATCCTGCGTGTCTGTCAACAATGTCGAGAAACCCTCCCTGTGTGTCCAATGTATTGGAACCTGTAGGAAGGCTTGGAGGGACACACATCAGGTGATCAACATGGATACGCTTGTGACAGGGCCAGAAGGGTGTTTGAGATGGGAGCTGGAAAGCAAAAAAAGACTGGCAAACGAAAGACCCATGTGGTGCGATGTAAAGTAAAACTGTGGAACTCGGCTCTTTTGTGACTGTGAACAGGCAATCGCAATGACAGCCAAAGGACAGGCTGACTGTCCGCTCTGCAGAGGACACAGCTGAAGCCCAGGGAGTTCGATCCCAAAGTCACCCAGCTTGACTCCTGGTTCCAAGTCCAGGCTCTGATCAGAGCCCTAGGTGTTCTGGGGGGCGGAGCTGGTCACACAAAGGGGGCATGCGCTGAGGAGGGGCCTTCAGAACCGATAGGCCCAGGCGGCTGCCAGCCAGGCTGGGGTTCCAGGGGCGGAGGGGCTGACTGGATACCTGGGTACCTGAGTTAATGAGTAAGGTGAAGCTGAGGCCCAGCACAGCTTGTCTCAGTGGGAGGGGCAAGGAGCTGGGTTATTGGGAGCAACAAGGCTTCTATCAATGGGTCAGGAAACTCCCAGGGGGTTGGGCTGTGGGGTCTGGAAGAAAGGAACCAGAAAGGACTCACCCGGGTTCTAACAAAGACACCCCAAACCCTCCAGGTCACTGGGTAGAAGCCCCCATGGCGCCCTCTGGGAGTGTTCCTTACTTACTTGACCTCCAGGGGCCCTGGGCACTTCTTCAGAGTCTCACAGAGGTGGACGAGGCTCAGGGGCTCTGGCCGACACTCCTTGAGGCTGCAAAGGAGCAGTGGGCAGGGCAGGGGGATCAGAGAGGGCTCAGGGCCCCTGTCCAGCCCTCTCCACCCTTCTCCCTGCCAGTGTCTTATGTTCTAACAGTGCAAATCTGGGTAGGCCTCTCCTGTGATGAGAACCCTCTGTGGCTCCCCATTCTCCTAGGTTCAAGGCAAAGCGCCTTTTCTATGGCCTCACTCGCCTCCACGCTCCCTGCGTGTGCTCCGGCCACACTGAGAGGCTTCCCCAGAGCCAAGCCTTCTCCCCTCCCGGCCTCTGCACAAGCTGGCCCCACCCGGACATCCGCCCCTCCTCGGACGTGTCCACCCCTGCTCAGCCCCAGCGTGGGTGCCTCTTCTTCTGTGAGGAAATCAAGGCCAGGAGGATGGAGGGGCCCAGCCTGGGTCTCACAGCCCTCATGGCAGAGCTGGGAAGCCTCCCGAGAAATCAGCGTGGAACTGAGTGCTGGGCGCGGCAGCCCTCACACTCACCCTCACACTCACCCTCACACTCAGCCCTCACACGCACCCTCACACCCTCACACTCACCCTCACACTCACCCTCACACTCACCCTCACACTCAGCCCTCACACGCACCCTCACACCCTCACACTCACCCTCACACTCACCCTCACACTCAGCCCTCACACGCACCCTCACACCCTCACACTCACCCTCACATGCACCCTCACATGCACCCTCACACTCAGCCCTCACACTCAGCGCTCACACGCACCCTCACACGCACCCTCACACTCAGCCCTCACACGCACCCTCACACTCACACTCAGCCCTCACACTCACACTCACACTCAGCCCTCACACGCGCCCTCACACGCACCCTCACACTTAGCCCTCACACTCAGCGCTCACACACACCACACTCAGCCCTCACACTCACCCTCACACCCTCACACTCACCCTCACACTCAGCCCTCACACTCAGCGCTCACACGCACCCTCACACGCACCCTCACACTCAGCCCTCACACGCACCCTCACACTCACACTCAGCCCTCACACTCACACTCACACTCAGCCCTCACACGCGCCCTCACACGCACCCTCACACTTAGCCCTCACACTCAGCGCTCACACACACCACACTCAGCCCTCACACTCACCCTCACACCCTCACACTCACCCTCACACTCACCCTCACACTCAGCCCTCACACGCACCCTCACACTCACACTCAGCCCTCACACTCACACTCACACTCAGCCCTCACACGCGCCCTCACACGCACCCTCACACTTAGCCCTCACACTCAGCGCTCACACACACCACACTCAGCCCTCACACTCACCCTCACACCCTCACACTCACCCTCACACTCAGCCCTCACACTCAGCGCTCACACGCACCCTCACACGCACCCTCACACTCAGCCCTCACACGCACCCTCACACTCACACTCAGCCCTCACACTCACACTCACACTCAGCCCTCACACGCGCCCTCACACGCGCCCTCACACGCACCCTCACACTTAGCCCTCACACTCAGCGCTCACACACACCACACTCAGCCCTCACACTCACCCTCACACCCTCACACTCACCCTCACACTCACCCTCACACTCAGCCCTCACACGCACCCTCACACTCACACTCAGCCCTCACACTCACACTCACACTCAGCCCTCACACGCACCCTCACACTCAGCCCTCACACGCACCCTCACACTCACACTCAGCCCTCACACTCACACTCACACTCAGCCCTCACACGCGCCCTCACACGCACCCTCACACTTAGCCCTCACACTCACCCTCACACGCACCCTCACACGCACCCTCACACTCACCCTCACACGCACCCTCACACGCACCCTCACACTCACCCTCACACGCACCCTCACACTCAGCCCTCACACGCACACTCAGCGCTCACATGCACCCTCACACTCAGCCCTCACACGCACCCTCACACTCACACTCAGCCCTCACATGCACCCTCACACGCACACTCACACTCAGCGCTCACACGCACCCTCACACTCAGCCCTCACACGCACACTCAGCGCTCACACGCACCCTCACACTCAGCCCTCACACGCACACTCAGCCCTCACACGCACCCTCACACTCAGCCCTCACACGCACCCTCACACTCAGCCCTCACACGCACCCTCACACACACCCTCTCTCCTGCCCCTTCTCTCAAATTCTTTCTCCCTTCTCCCAGCCCTTGCCCCACCCCCATGCACTCCTTACTCCCTGAGCCCTCACCCTACTGTGGTTACCCCCAAACAGGAAGTGGGCAAGGTGGTACCAGAAGCTCCTGGGGACACAGCGCTGGTCAAACCCAGAGATCTGGGCTCCTGCTGGGAACTCTGGCAAAGAGCCAGCTGCCGACAGGCCCCTGGAGTGGGGGGAACATTTTGAGAGGAAAGTTGAAATCCTCCACATTGGAAGATGAGACGCATCAGTCAGGGCTGAGAGGGGACCTCGGGACAGTCAAACCCCTCACTGCACAGGTGGGGAAACTGAGGCCCAGGGAAGGTAAGCCACAGTGAGAAAGACAGCAGCTTACACCTGTCCAGGGCAGCACCTGACCTGGTGAGGGAGCCAGGACAGAGTCCTCCTTGCTCTGATTGTGGCCTTCACATCAATCACTTCTGTCTCCCTGTGCCTCGAAAACTCAGAGGGTCCCCAGAAACAGAGACCCTAGGCCGGGAAGCAAGATCACCCCAGGCTTGGGCCAGCCCTGATTTCAGACAACCACCTGTCATGGCGTTGCCATCCCTGGTCACATCAGCCCAGCGCCTCACACTAGGTGGCTTGCCCACCTCCCAAGTGAGACCTCGGTGTCCCACCAGGGGGCAGCTGGAAACGTCTGCAGAGAACTAACGACTGCCCCTTGTTTACAGCCAAGAGGTGGGAAGTTTGTCAAGAGCACCAACGGTCTGTTTCTCAGATGTGACCCTCAGATTGAGAAAGGGCAGTGACTCATATGAACAGAGGTCTGCAAAAGTCCCAAGACAGAAATACAGTTTCTCTCTTCCCTCCCCCACAGCAGCAATCAGCTAGCACCTGCTCTGCTCATTACCCGATGTCCCCTCCCTCATCTGCACTGGCTTCTTCCAAGAGATTTAAGGCAGCTGATTACTGCAAATGTAGATGGGGGGAGGGGTTACTCTAGAGCTGGCAGTGGTCAGCATGGGTCTAGGGTGGGGGCTCCTCTAGGAAATAGGGACCAGACGGAGAGGAGAGCCCACCCTCTGAGCTCTCTGTCCTCACCTGGCTCTTCTGTCACCTCTCAGGATGACACATTGGCTCTCGAAGCTGCAGGCAGAGAGGAGGTAACAATCAGAGAACAGGCGAAGGGACCACTGCACAGGCAGGGGCAGGAGAGCAGGCTCACCAGGCCAAGGGGGCCTGGAGGGCAGCCTGCATTCTCAGCAAATGCTCCAATAACTACACTGACGACCACTCCGTTTATTAAGGCACACACAAAGCACACATCAGCGACACGATCTCCTTCGTTCTCATGCTAAAGTTGTGAGGTAAAGAAGTATTCTTACACCCATTTCACAGATGAGAAAACTGAGGCATGGAGAGGCTCAGTGACCTGCTCAAAGCTGCCCAGCAGGTAAGTGCTGAGCTTGGATTTGAACCTGGTCTGTCTGTTCACTGTCCACTCTTGGGAGGGTCATAGGGACGAAAGGGCAGGCCTCTCGTTGAAGTACGGATGACCTACATTGCATGTCCTGGAGCTACATGGCTGGGTACCTTTTCCCTTCTATGGTCTTATCAGCTCCAGAGACCCCACAATTAAGATGACTCCTTGAGCATTTAATGGTCACAAAGGAACGCCCAGTTTTCTTTTCTTTTTTTTTTATCCTCACCTGAGGACATTTTTCCATTTTTTGTTCAGACAGAGTGGGAGGAAGAGAGATACAGAGAAAGAGAGAGAGAGAAACATCGACGTGAAAGGGACACATCGAGTGGTTGCCACTCGCACGACCCAGCCAGGGCCGGGGACAAACCGCAACCAAGATACGTGCCCTTAGTGGGAACCGGACTCGGGTCTCTCTGGACCGTAGGCCGACGCTCTAACCGCTGAGCCAAACCAGCCAGGGCTCTCTGGGAGACTTTTAAGAAAACTGGGCCCTCTCTCTCCCTCCCACTCTATCCGAACAAAAAATGGAAAAAAAAGTCTCCCAGAGTGAGTAAGGGAGTTGATGAACTGTGTCCCATGGAGAAATTTGAGTGTCCCTGGGGCTATATTCATTCATCATTCATTCGCTCAGCAGTATCTGACCCCTATCCCTCAGGCCCTGAGGGTGCTACGTCGTGAATGCAGCAGACAAAGGGGCAGGGCGGGGCCCAGCGGCACACTCACCTGATGTCCAGGTGGAGGACCCACTGCACAGTGGAGAAACACTGGGCCAGACTGAACACAGTGTCCAGGGACAAGCCGTTCTCACTGAGGCTGGAGAAGAACAGGAGTGGTGTTGATGGGTCACCCAGGACTTAGAAACACCCTCTTTGTAGTCAGAGCACAGGGTGGGGGGTTTAACCCCAAGTCCCAAAGATGAAACTCACTGAACTCTGACTGGTCAGAGTGCCTCTCCCATCTCCCCACTGTACAGATGGGGAAACTGAGGCCCTTAGAGCAGCAAGGTCCTGCCCAAAGTTACAAGACATACTGGTGACAGAGCTGAGATAAGACTCCCGTGGTGACCTCTGTCTGTGATGAACGTGGGGAGTACTTTTAGGCACCTGACAGAGGAGGGTGGTGCCCAGTGAAATGAAAATGGAGGGGTCGCTTGCTCAGAAAACAGGAAAAAGCTTTTCCTTTCCTTCCTAGTCTGTCAACCTGTCATGGTGATTTTTATTGGTCCTTTAATAACACACTCTTGGGGACAAGGATCCTGGTAGACTCTCACAGGCCCTGGGTCATACCAGGCGTTCACAGTATCGACAAGGTCACATGGGGCTTTGCCCCGACAGCGTCAATCAGCATAGATTTGCCTGCAGTGGTGAGGCCCCGAACAGTGACGGAGGTGACCTCCTCTCCTTCCAATGCCCCAATGAGACTCTTGAGCAGGAAGGGCCACCAGGCCATAGTGCTCATTCTAAGGTTGTAGACAAAATACAGCCCCTCTATAGTTTGGGTTAATTGACTGGGAACCAGGGGCTCAGAGAGGTGATGTCACTTGCTCAAGGTCACACTGAGAACCTAGGACCTGTGACCTCTGTCCAGGGCTCCTCTCACTTCGTCCCAGAAGATCTTGGGGGAACAGGAGATGCGGGAACCAAGAACACAGGAGCCTTTTAGGGCCCAAGAACTCTGGTCTGCTGCAGACAAAGTCTTGGAGTTCTTGGCTCCCTGCCTCCCTTCCACACTGAAAACCTCCCATCTCTGCCGGATGCTGAGGGCCCTCCAGATGCCCTGGGCACCCTGATTCGCTGTCCTGTGGGATACGAACCTTCCCTGTCTACCAGCTTGCACCCCGTCAAACGGCCCCTCCCTGTATCCCAGGGCCCGAACGGCTGCCAGCCATTCCATTAATCAGTAATACTTTCCATCACGCCTGCCTTGCCCTGGGTGACCTGGGCCTCCAGAGACAGGTTCTTGAAGTGAAACCTTAAACCAGAAGCTGAACCACAGAGTCACAGAGGCCAGTCTCTATTCAATGGGAATCGTAACTTTTACTGGGCACTCAACCCCTGTCAGAGACTGGGCCAGGCAACTGACATGCGTCTTCTCACTAAGCTTTCTGACAACCCAGGAAGGGGTGAGATGGGACTTAGGAAGAACCCCTCTACCCGCCCCTCACATCCCCTCATTCCGATGAGGACAACCCCCGGAAGCTTTGCCCAGCCAGCTACTCACTTCAAGGACTGCAGAGTGCCCAGCCCTGGGAGCCACTGAGCCAGCTGGGCTGCACCTTTGTCCCCAAGAGCATTGCCTGATAAACTGGGAGGGGCGGGGGGAGAACAGGTTAGCGAGGGGGGTGGGGAGGGCCGGCGCTTTGTCTCTCCCACCGTCCCACTCTGGCCCTGGGCTGTCAGGCCAGATCTTAGCAGGTCACGCTGGGTCAGCTGGGTTAGCTGGGTTCTCCCTAGGGTTCTGATTCTGAGGTTTGTGACCCCGAGGGGTTCAGAGATAGGCTTTAGAGGGAGTCAAACGTAGGAGACCTGTATTCTAGGGGAAGAGGCACAACTTTCACCAGGTTCTCTAATGGGTTCTGGGTTGTAGCAGGAAAAGAAAGGCTGATCTAAATCTGAGAAAGCAAAACAAAACCACCCAACACTCACTGACGGATTAGTCCCACCCACACGCTTTCCAGCGGCACCACTTGCACCACTTACTCGAGGTGGCTGAGGCTGAAGCTTCCTCCCAGTGCCGTGCAGAGCTGCTCTAGGTGCTCAGCTTGCAAACCACAGTGCGTCAGCCTGCGGAGGGCAGAACCACACCCTGCAGCCCCACTCCGCCCAGCGGAGGCCAGAGCAGCCACCACCCCAGACACACAGGCGGAGAGCCAGGCTTGCAGGAGAGGGACTGGAACGCATCTGGCACTCAGACAGACCGAGGGACCAACACACGGACGGTTACACACGGGCAGAGAAGAACCAGAGAGTCAGAGACACAGAGAGAGGGTCACCAAGATGGAAAGACACAGAGGAGGGAGGGGGAGAGAGACCGAGAGAGAGGAGGCAGATGTACACACACATGCACACACACATGTGCACACGAGCACAGTGACAGAGGAGGATAAACGGACAGCGAGAAAAGGGCCACAGACAATAAGACAGACATGAATAGAGACAGACAGAGAGGGAGGGAGATTCAGATGGACAAAGAAGAGAGCAGGCCAGAAGGAGATTGATGGGTGCCCTGAGAGGCTGCGCTGTCCCCAGGCCCAGGCCCCAGGATCCGTAGAGAAGGAGCTGCAAGCTCCCCATCCTCTCTGTCTAGACTCCCAAGCCCTCAGCTGCTAGAAGTTGGAGGCATTAAAAGGAAGGGTGCCCCTGGGCAGGGAAGGTGACTGAGGGGGCTGCCTTATGAGCCCTGCCCGAGGTAGGCTGGGCAGGAGAGGGGGGAAGCGGGGAAGCCAGGCTCCAGCTCCTGGATAAAGCAGGTCACGTCATCCAGGGAGCACCGGGGCTGGGGGCCAGGGGACAGGCTTTGTGCAGAGGAAGGTAGGAGGCTGGAACCCAGGGCCTGCAGGGCATCACCATACCTGATCCGTGGGGAGAACTGGGGCAGCTCACAGGGCACCTGGAGCATAAGGCTGTCAGGGGGCACAGCCCTGGAGAGACACACCGGGCCAGGCTGAGCAAACACCGCATCCACCATCTCCAGAGTCCATCCCCAACTCGCTTCCCACCATCCAATCTCTGCATGGGCCTGGGGACAGTCAGACCTTGGTCCCAATTGGGCCTCCTTGTGTCCTGGTGTGTAAACTGGGACACGTCTCTTAGGCTCTTACTGGAAGAAGGGGTGTGAATCGCCTTAGTTTGATGCTTGGTGCTCAGACCTCGGCTATGTGTCATTAATCTCATCATCATCATCAGTGCCTTCAGAGATGTCAGCCTCAGCTTCAAGCAAGCCTTTGAAAGCTGAGACCCTACAGAAGACACTGTAGGTGGACATTGAGGAGCAAAGAGCTGAGTCTCTGCCCATGTGCTGGGCTGGGGCAATCAAGGAAGGCACCTTGGAGGAGGCAAACACTCTCTAAAGCAGCGGTTCTCAACTTGGGGGTCGAATGACCCTTTCAGAGGGGTCGCCTAGGACCATCGGAAAACACATATTTCCGATGGTTTTAGGAACCGAGACCCCGCTCCTCTATCCGTCTCCAGGCGGGTCCGCCCACGTGCAGATACACCACGTACAACATGAGGAGCTGGATTAAAGGGTCCCGGCATTAGGAAGGTGGAGAACCACTGCAAAGGTCCTCATGACAAAGGGAGGCAGAAGTTCTGACCAAAATCAGAGCTATAGGCTAGGCGGCCCTCTGGGCTTAGGCTGAACGGCCTTGTTCTCTCTGTCTGTCCCATCCCTGTCCCAGCGTGGTGCCATCTCCACCCTGAATCACAGGGCTCTCTTCAGGCACCACTAAGGAAATGGTGTCTGTGCTGTGACCTCCCCTTCAGGGATGCATCCCCTTTTAAGCCTGCTGAGCCTCCGGGAATGTGTCAAGGTCCCCAGGCAGTGGAGTGGCACTGTCCAGGTGCAGGAGTCAGGGAAGGGGTGGCCCTGGCCCAAGGGGGGCCCTGCTGGTGTTGGGGCCCTACCTCTCCTGGATTCCCTTCTGCTCCTCCAGCTCTGGGGCAAACGTCAGGACCACAGTTTTGTGCAAGAGGCTGTGGAGAGAAGAGGAGGAGGAGGCAAGAGGCTTATGGGGCCCCTGCTGCTCCAGATGATTTTTAGCCTGAGGTGGAGGGACCCCTAAGGTGCCGTCCCCGGGCTCCCACTGCAGCCACTTCCTCTGAGCCTCCCCTGACTTCCTCTGAGTTTCCCGGGGCCTGAAGTCTCTCCGCAGAGATTTCACAAACCATCAGCCCTTATTTTCCGGCAAGTCCTCGGATTAAACTTCAGTTCTGTAGTCTCTCTGGTTTGGGCCTCAGGCAGAAGCCCTCCCTCTGCCCACTCGTGGCACCTGGCTGCAGGTGCTCACCCAGCAGGGGAGGTCACTGCCAGGTCTGGGCAGACACAGACGCACAGGAGGCTGTGACTTACAGCCCGGCCGCCTCGCCTTGCAAACCGAGTGTTACGTGTATGTTTTCTCATTACGAAAGTCATACTTCATCCATGTGGAGGACTTAGAAAACAGTAAAGTAAAAAACAAACCAAACAAAAAAAACGAAGAAAAAGATCACCCACCATCTCTCCACATATCAGTGAGCACTTTTTTCTTTAGTGCAGTGAATGTTCTTTCTTTCTTCTTAAAAATGGGATTACAATGACATTCTCTTCTAAAAATTAGGTTTTCAAGGGACAGATGCAGTAAGAGCAACAAAATGTTGATAATTATTGGTGGGAAGTGGGTGTTTGTTATACCATTCTCCCTACCTTGAAGTATGTCTGAAAAGCTTTATTAGAAAAATGATGACTGAAGATTTTTATGTTTACTGCCCTGGCCGGTTTGGCTCAGCGGTTGGAGTGTCGGCCTGCGGACCAGAGAGTCCCAGGTTCGGGTCCCACTAAGGGCACGTACCTCGGTTGCAGTTTGTCTCCAGCCCTGGTTGGGGTCGTGCGGGTGGCAACCAGTCAATGTGTCTCTCTCACATCGATGTTTCTCTCTTTCTCTTCCTCCCTGTCTCCCTCCTGCTCTCACTGAAGATAAATGCAAAAATGTCCTCGGGTGAGGATAAAAAAAAAAGATTTTTACGTTTACTTCATATTCCATTCCATACCAAAACTGCAGCCCCATCATGGTTTTATTAAGTCCTTCCCCTGAAGGCCCCGGGGCTGAGAAGGATGGAGCAGCTGGAGCTCTGGGCTGGAGGCAGGGTGGTGCCCGCGTCCCGAGCTCTCACCTGATGTGCAGGTCCGCCAGGTCCCGGCCGGCGCTGGCCGCTCTCAGCACGCAGTGCACCCCGGCCACGGAGAGCCCGTTGTCACTGAGGCTGTGCAGAGGTAGGCAGCCATCAGCCGCTGAAGTCCCCAGCCCCAGATAGCTGCGGCCCCTCCTTCTGGCTCAGCAGCAAGCTAGCTGGGACTCTTGGGATGTCCTCGGCCCTTACCCAGGGGTCTCAAAGGGTTCCAGCTCACGTGAATGAGCCCAGAGACCATGGCCCTGCCCTACTCAGAGATTAAAGTTCTCCAGCTGGAGCAATCAGAATGGACTCTGAGCCTCAGCTTCCTGGTGTGTGAAATAACCACCATTCTAAGCACATGTAACAAATGGGGAAACTGAGACTCCGAGACATTAAATTACTTTCCCGGGGTTACAAAGCTACTAAATGACAGAGCCAGGATTTCAATACAAAGCCAAGGCTCCAAATCAGTTACCCCACCTCAGCGCCCCCCCACCCCAACCCACACTCGATGCTAAGACCCCAACACACCCTACCCAAACAGTTCAGTACCCTTTCTTTCCATCCCACTACCCCAACAGCTCACCCTTCACCCCAACACTGTATTCCCTCCTTAACGCCACTTTCCACATCATCCCAACCCAACACCCCAGCGCCCACCCATCCAACATCCCAATGTTGATTCAATGCAGCACCACCCCACCTCGACCCGCTCCCCCCAACCTAGTCGGGCTCCGCCCCACCTCCTCCGGCTCCGCCCCACCTCGTCCCGCTCCGCCCCAGGGCTACTGTAAGGACAAACGGGAAAACAAGCCCCTGAGGTACAGGGGACTATTTTACAAGGGGTTTTCATGATTGTAACTAAGTGGCTCATGTCAGAGGCAAAAGTGAGGCATCGCTGAGCCACTCCGACTTCGCTGGAGTTGGGAGAAGATGAGGGTGGTCCCTAAGTGACTATGGGCATGGGGATGGGGGTGGCAGGGCCCAGATGGACTTTCCAGAGTCCTCCCTGTTACCCAACAGTGGGGTGGGCCACTCACTCCAGCTTCCTGGTGATGTGCAGCTGGGAGGCAGCCTCTGCCATCAGTCGACAGCCTTCATTCTCCAGCTGGTTCCCTGAGAGGCTGAGACAGAGGGACCCGATGCCCTATGCTGCCGGGGCAGGGGCCCCTCAACATGCACGCAGTCCCTCACTGACTTCAGTCAGAGCATCTTTCCAGTGATGAACTTAATAATAACGAATGTTGAAAGACTGTGTGCTACCTGCCTGGCACTGTCCTAGGTGCTTTTACAATTATTAAATTTTTAATCCTCATAACAACCCTAGGAAGTCAGCACTATTATGATCCTCATCTTACTGATGGTAAACTGAAGTACAGACTGGTTAGGGCACTTGCTCAAAGGTGGACCTGGGATTTGAACCCAGGCAGCCTGACTTCAAGGCCCTGTCCTCAACCATTTATTTATGCCGCAACCTACATAATTGCTTCTTGTGATAAAGTAAATGGTGATAGGGGTGTATGACCTCATCCGGTGTCAGGGGAGGCTTCCCTGATGTTTGAGCCGCGTGCTGCCAACACCAGGAGCTCAATAGGTGAGCGGCGGGAGAGGGCCGCAGGAGCAGCACATTCAAAGGCACATTTGAGGACTGGAGGGGGAGCAGAATGTCTGGATGGAGAACTAAGTGGGAGCGAGGGGTCAGATGGGGTTTGGGGGTTGGGAGCAGAATTCCGGGTCACATGGGATTTTAGGCTTTATCCTGAGCAGTGGGAAGGAGTGGAGGGGACAGGCGGGAATGAGATGCAGTTCACCCTGTGCCAGGTGGAGGGGGCCAGGGTGGAAGCAGGGAACTCAGTGAGGAGGCAGATGGGGTCATCCAGGGGACAGATGACAGTGGTTTGGGCTAGGGAGGTGGAGGAAGAGGATGGTTGAGAGCTATGCAGAGCGTAGGTCCATTCAGGAAGGACTGTCTATGGAGGAAGGCCAGGAAGCTGAGAGCTGTTTGGTCTGTGTAACCAGGTGGGTGATGGGGCCCTTATTATAAGCGACAGAATGCGGGGAAGACAGGCTGGTGGTGGCAAGTTGGGTGGAAGTATGCCAGTCTGGTAAAAACACCTTTTCTAATCTTGCCTTGGTTCTCCCGGTGGGACAGGTCAAGGCTTAATTAAGCTTTGGTCACCAAAGTAGCCCTCATCCCATCCATCTCCACTTGGGGTCACTCACTTCAAAAGACATCCTGGCATTCCATCACTCCACCTTCACACCCATGGGATTTTCTGGGATGGTCCCATGACAGGACCTGCCCAGTCCCAAGCCCTACTCTCAAAGGCTCCGCCCAGGAGCGGAACATTGTGGGAATTTCTCCAGCCAGAAAAGAGGTCGTCTCACTGTAGTCTGGGAGGAAGACAAGGTGAAGGGACCTTGAGGGATATGGTTTGGAAGACAGACTAAGTGTGGTGAAGTTTCTGCTTTGCAGATCTCTCTGACAGGGGTTACAAGGATGAGGCCTGAGGTAAGACAGTCTCAACTTGAACCCTGGCCTGGACTCTTCTTAGCTGTGTGGCCTTGAGCAAACATACTTTCTATGACTTAGTTTCCCCCTCTATGAAATGGGCACAGTAGCAGTACTTCTGTCACAGGGACGTGAGGATTAAACGAGAGATGCGAGAGATGCGTGTGAACGCACCTGGCACAGGGCGAGTGCTAAACTGCGGCAGCTGTTACGATATTCGGATTCCCCCAGATCCTTAATGAGGCAGCTTTCCCATACCATCCACCCACAGCTGAGGCCCTCCCTGTACCGCCCACCCTCCCCTCCAGTCTTCTGCCCCAGGGTGTCCCATGATACTCACTCTACTTCGTCTAGGTGACGGCCTTCCCGGAGCTGGGCTATGAGCATCTCCACGTGACAGCTGGTTAGCTGACACTTCTGCAGCCTAGGGTGGGGTAGGGGCAGAAGGGCTCAGGGCCAGAAGCTACACGATGCCTCCTCTAGCTCCTGGCCCCCAGTCAGCCAGAGGAGTTGGGAGCCAGGAGGCTAACTGACCTGCTGTTGAATCCTGGCCCTGCTTCTCAGTAACTGGGTGATCTTGGGCAAGGCACTTAACCTGAGACTCAATTTCCTCCACTGTCAAGTGGGAACAATAATGTATACTTTGCAGAACTTTCAAAAGAATAACAGTGAGGTGATGGATATAAAATACCACAGTGCCCAGCACAAGGACCCATTAAATTACAGTTATTGTCGTTGTTATGCCAGGTGCTCCTTGTTCAGGCCAGGATGGGGTATTCATGTCCATTCCCTGCCCCATGTCCGCTTTTCCCTTTATTCCCCCTGTCCCTGCTATGCCTCCCTGGGAAGGGACCCTCCACCCATATCATATCCCGCCCTAAGGCAAAGGGTCCCCCTGAGCACCTGAGCACCAGGCTTCTGCTCGGAGCCTCCTTCCGCTGGCTGGCGTTTCCCTGAACGTCTGGGGCTCTGGCAAGAACAAATCCAACATTGGCTTGGGCTCAGGAGTTTAGGCTCTGCTCTTGGCTTCTAGAGACTGAAGACTCTTTAGCATGACCCACAGTGAATGACTAACAGAGGCTGCTGTTTGAAGGTGCTGAAGGCATTGTTCAGCAAAGCAGCAGGAGCAAACAGTTTGAGGTCACATGGAACCTATATTGAAATTCTGTCTCTGCTATATATATTATATAGCTTTGTGGCCTTGGGCAAGTCACTGCACCCCTCGGAGCCTCCATTTTCTCTTTTCTCAAATGAGATGACAATATCTAACATATAGAGTGATTGAAGGATTGAATGAGGACTGATATATGATCAAGTGCCCACTATAGGGTGGGCACAAGATTGAAGCTTGGTAAAAAGCAGCTGCCATTGTTTAAGATGCGATGTCTCCATTTGTAGATGTACCATCTGTGGTTCAGAAGGCCAGGACCTGGAATGTACGTGAGCCAGGCTGTGAAAAGCCACGGCACCTGCAGGCTCTCTTCCACTAGGCCAGGCTGGGGCTGCAGAGAAGCTGGCATGCGAGCCAAATTTGCACAGATTTCGAGATCCATGCCATCCAACAGAATTTCTGCGATGATGAAAATGTTCTGTATCTGTGCCATCCGTTACGGGAGCCACTAGCCTCCTATAGACATTGAGCACCTGAAATGTGGCTGATGCGACTGATGAAATAAAACATCCACTGGACATAATGTTAATTAATAAAAGTTTAAAAATATGTTTTTATAGCCCAGCTGGTGTGGGTCAGTGGTTGAGCATCAACCGATGCACCAAGAGGTCACCAGTTCGATTCCCGGTCGGGGCACATGCCCAGGTTGTGAGCCCAATCCCCAGTGGGGGGCATGCAGGAGGCTGCCAATCCATGTTCTCTCTCATAGATGTTTCTATCTCTTTCTCCCTCTCCCTTTCTTTCTCTCTAAAATCAATAAAGGAAAAAAATTTAAAATATGTTTTTATTGATTTTCTTAGAGAGAGAGAAACATCAATGTGAGAGAGATACATCCATCGGCTGCCTCCTGCCGCCTCCTACTGGAGATTGAGCCTGCAACCTGGGCACGTGCCCTGACCGGGAATCGAACCAAGACCTCTCAGTCCACAGGATGACGCTCCATCCACTGAGCCACAGCAGCCGGGCTAATTCATATAAGTTTAAATAGCCACATGTGGCCCTGGCCAGTTTGGCTCAGCGGTTACAGTGTCGGCCTGCAGACCAGAGAGTCCCGGGTTTGGTTCCTGCTAAGGGCACGTACCTCGGTTGTAGTTTGTCCCCGGCCCCCGTTGGGGTCATGTGGGTGGCAACCACTCGATGTGTCTCTCTCACATCAATGTTTCTCTCTCTCTCTTCCTCCCTCTCTCTCTCCTGCTCTATCTGAAGGTAAATGCAAAATGTCCTCGAGTAAGGATAAAAGATAAATAAATAAATAGCCACATATGGCTACCGTATTGCATACCACATCTCCAGAAGTCAGAGGGTGAAAAGATAGTGGTTCTTCTGAATTACTGTATGAGTGAGGAAACTGAGGCTCAGAGTGGGGAAAGGACTTGCTCAAGGACATACAACTTCATCAGTCGCTGAGTCTTCGTGGGGGAGTGGTGTGGGGAAGCACAGTTGGAATGTTCTTTCATGGAAAGGCAGCTTCCCTTCCTTTGTCCACCCAGGACTGGCCAAGCCGGGGCCCAACTGGGTGCAGCAGAGTCCTGAGCACTTTCAATGTATCCATTCGGTTAATTTTCAGAACAACTGCAAGACGTAGGTACCATAATTGCTTTCCTTTTGTTTTCTTTTTTTGCAGTTAGAAGACTTTTCCCCACATAGTAATGCCATCTAACAGCATCTTCATGCCTCCCCCCACCCACCCCACCCCAAGAGTCTGGTGCACGCAAAGATTCCTGGGGATGCTCTCTCACCACAGGAGCCACATGTGGTCCAGAGAGGCTAGAGGAAGCTAAAGTTCTTTGCCAGCTCTGAGAAGTAAGTCATTTCTCAGGGCAGCCGTAGCAAGAATAATCCCCACATTCCAGCTCTCCCCAAGCTCCCTTGATCACCTTTCCCCACAAGTGCCTGAGCCCAGATCACAACTCAGGATGAGCCCAGACCCACACCCTCCCTAACTTCTTACCCACGTAGCTCTGCAGCTGTCTCTGCAGGCGGAGAGAGAAGGATGATGAGGTCCGCCTTCCTGCAGGGTCAGACAGCAAGCCATGAAACCCACAGACTGGAAATCAGCGCTGCACCCCCTACCTGCACATCCCTTGCTGTCCCGAACAGCCAGAGAAAGCTGGTTTTGTAATTTACAGAGGAACAATAGAATTGGCAAAAGTGCTCCAAATCAGACATGTGAAATTGCGACTGCCATTGCTCGATAAAGTGTTTCAAAAAGTCAGGAAATCAACGTTTACAAGAAAGATAATAGAAATTAGAAACCCTGAGAGATTTATATGAGTTACTGTGTTTTAGTATTAAGAGGCATAGTGCACCCGGCTGGTATGGCTCAGTGGCTGAGCATCGACCCATGCACAAAGAGGTCACCAATTTGATTCCCAGTCAGGTCACATGTCCAGGTTGTCAGCCCAATCTCCAGTGCGGGGGACATGCAGGAGGCGGCCAATTAATGTTCTCTCTCATCAATGTTTCTATCTCCATCTCCCTCTTCCTTCCTCTCTCTCTAAAATCAATTAAAAAAAATTCAAAACAGGTGATACACCCTGGCCGGTTTGGCTCATCGGTTAGAGTGTTAGCCTGCGGCCCAGAAAGACCCGGATTTGGTTCCCTCTAAGGGCATGTACCTCGGTTGCAGTTTGTCCTCGGCCCTGGTTGGGTTGTGCGGGAGGCAGCCACTTGATGTGTCCCTTTCACATTGATGTTTCTCTCCCTCTCTCTCTCTCCTTCCCACTCTATCTGGACGAAAAATGGAAAAATGTCCTTGGGTGAGGATTAAAAACAAAACAAAACAAAAAAAACAGGTGACACTAGTTCAGCACCACGGAGAGTGACACGAGGCTAATTATTCCAGCTATGCCTATACTTCCTAGATTTGTTGATTCATTCCTTCATGCATCTGTCGGTCTGATCATCCAACTTTCCTTCCATTCACAGGTTGAGTACTAGGGGTCAGGCCTGTTCTAGGTCTGGACACACTGATGTGAGTAAAACAGACTCAAGCATGTAAATCTTGCAGACTAGGGGCTTCCTCTTTTTCCTATCCCCTCCTCTTTTCTCAAGACCCTGAACACCAGGCTCCCATTCCTTCTGCTCACCTGACTTGCAACATCCTGATAGTCGGGCATGTGACTGCCACCTTGGTCAGGTAGAGCAGGGTTGACATGGAGACATCGTTGTGGCTCAGGCTGCGTGATTAAGGCAACGGTTCAGGAGTGAATCCCCTATTCCATGGGCCCCAGATCTTTGCTCTCTAAGGTGGGAGGGTGGCTCAGGCAGGCGCTCAGATGGAAAGAACACTTACTCAAGCTTCCGGAGCCGTGGCAGACAAGGGAGGACCTCCACGATGTTCCGCACCTCCTGGTCCTTGAGCTGGTTGTCCTGAAAGCTGCAGGGAGACCAAGTCTCTCAGCCCTGGGGTGGGGACACTTAGAAGCTCCAGTTGGCAGGTGACAGACATGGTCACTCTCACAGGGGAGACACAAGGCAGGGGCCCAGAATGAGTGGGTGACCTGCTCCATGGTATCCAACAGGTCCAGCTAGGAGGGAAGGCCCTCTGCTGGCCTCACTCTGTCCTCATTCAGTCCCTCTGGGGGAGTTCCTGCCTGGTGGCCCAAAGGATCCAGATGGTGGACCATGAAGGCTCATGAGGTGGAATAAGGAGACCCAGCAGCTTTCCATCAGGGACATGTCTGGGTTGAGCGCAAAGCCCAAGTTCGTCAGGGCCTCTTGGCTCCCAGGTGATGAGCAGTCTAGGATGCAGGAGATGCTGTTTCCAGCTTCGGCTCTGGCCCTGACTCACCCAGAGCCCTAGGCAAGCACATTCCTTTCTGATCTCACATTCCTCACCTGTCAAATGGGGTCCACAGCCTGGGTTCCTAGCTGGAGAGACAGGAGAACTGAAGAGTTCAAGCGTGCCTTTGTGTGTGACCACTCTGGTCAGGGAAAATGTTTGGAAATACTGAACTTGTTGACATTTACCTTTCTAATTACTGAGCATGACCTTAATCTTTTCCTTCATCGTGCAGAGTAATCATGCTTGAAGACACCCAGCAGAGGGGACAGAGCAGAGCCGTGGTCCAGCTAATGCTCCACTAAGAAAGAGGTGTACCCTAGTGCTGGGCTGCAGCTGCGGGGTAAAGGGTGCCTTTTCTAAATCTCACAAAGGTGCCACCTAGCAGTGGTTCTGCCAGTGAGCTGCTGAGGAGGTGCCCTGGCCCCACCCTTCTTGGGCCACTCATCACGGACATGGGCAGGGGTATATTTGTGCATATGTGTTTAGATGTGTATGTGGCCTAAGTGTGCATGCATGTGTGTGCTGCACATATGCACAACTACAAATGTGCATGTATGTGGGGCAGATACTTAAGTGAGCAGACAAGTATGTACACATATGTGCATGAATGTGAAGGTATGTGCATGTTTCGTGCATTTACGTGTACCCACAGTGCCCAACACCAGCCTGTACACGGCCATTCTCCTCTCAGGGTGACAGAAAGAGGGAAAGGGATCTCAAAACTCAAGCTCCTTCAAAATGGCTAAAAATATTGGACGAGAGAAGTACTTCTCTGGAGTCTTTGGGAGCCTTGAGCTTGGATCCAGCCCCACCCGGTTCTTGGACTGCTGGCTCCCCTCTCTGAGCCACACTGAAAAACTACTGGCCAGACCCCGTGGAATAGGCACAACCTGGGCAGTGACCTCTTCCCACAGCCAGCGAGCCCTCCTGGAGATCACTCACCTGACCTCTTCCAGGTGTGGACAGAGGGGCAAAGCCTGCACCAGGTGGTGGATGCCTCGGGCAGTAATCTTACTTCCTGCTAACCTACAGGGTAAGCAAAGATGGAGGGGAGAACTGGGGATAGGAAGGGAGGAGGCCCAGGATCTGCCCTGTGTAGGGGTGAGGGAAGGGAGGAGAGTTCCAGCACCCCCAGCTAAGAATCCCTCTCGGTTCCAAGTCCTGGCTCACCCCAGCTTCCTCAGGCTCCCCATTGTCGGCAAGCTCCTGGAGAGGGCTTCTGCAAAGGCATCCCCACACCTCCTGCTCTTAAAGCTGCCACGGAAGAAGAACGCGGCAGATGATTAATGCTGGACAGGGCTTAGAGGTCATGACCCAGCCTCCTCCGACAGAACTGAATGAACACAGTAATGTTAATAGCAGTAATTGTTGCTGCTGTGGTTGTAATGGTTGTAGTAGTAACAAATACATATTATGGCAGACTACTAATTGTCCGCCAAAACCCATTCTCCACGCATGGAGTCATAACTGGGAACATGGTTTTCCAGCCAGAGATGGCATTTCCCAGCCTCCCTTGAAGCTCACTGTGACCACATGACTATGTTCGCACCACTGGAATGTCAGTGGAGAGATGTGCCCTATTTCTAGGACTGAGCTTTAACTTGGGTGCATCTAATCCATGCTCTCTCCTTTCCTTCCCCCAAGCCAGAGCACAGATAAGCCCATCACTCAGCTTTGCCAGGCCAGTCCACATGCCCAAGGAGATGATGAAGCAATAGTGGAAGGAACCAGGTCCCTGCATGGCCATCTGGAGCTGAGCTATCCCACTCAGCTGGATGCTGAGTCTCCCGTGAGGGTGAAAGAAGATGCTACATTGTTTAATCCACTTTACTTTGGAAAGTGGGGCAGGGGGTTCTTTGTTACCGCAGCTTAGCCTGTCCTCTAGCTACTACACACAGTGAGCCTTTACTGTGTGCTAAGAAGTGGTTTTCATGCATTTTCATCTCACAACAACCCTATAAAGTAGGTATTATTACTGATTCCTTTGAGGGGTGAAGAAACACAGGCTGAGGTTAAATAACCTGCCCGAAGTCAAACAGCCTCCAGCAGCACAGCCTGGATCAGAGGCTCCAGCCCATGACTGAGAGCAGGAGGCTGACAGTCCAGACACACGGCACAGGAGACCCAGTGGGACCCAGAGGTCCTGGGGAGGCACGGTGCTTCCTCGCTGTGTCTGGCTAGGGAACAGCAAGGGCCTGTCTGTTCTGATACTCAAGATCTTCACCCAGTCAATCAGCAGGCATCTGCCAGGCTGGTGGCCTCCACTTGCCTAAAAGTCCAGTTCCCTCCCCAGTCCTGCCCTGTCCTTCCTCTCACCTGAGATTCTCCACCTGCCCACAACCTTCCAGGGCCTCAGGACAGCAGGGCTCCAGAGGACAGCCCTCGAAATCCAGGTGGATGGGGCCATCCCTGTGACCCACGATGTTGGTCAGGGCAGCCAGGTCAGCATATGTCAGTGGGAAATTATGAAAGCACAGTTGGTAGGGGAGGCTTCGGGCCATGAGGCTGGCCAGCTCAGGCTCTTGGGTCTCACCCACACAGTGACACAGCTCTATAACCTTTGGCCCTGTGAGCCTGCGGATGGCCAACTTCTTCAATGCCTGTATGACTGTGGCCTGCTTGGTGGCCACCCATGCCTCACCCCGCTGTGTCAGGTTGCTGAGGAAGGGACGGCAGGCGCAGGATGCCAGACCCGCCAGGAATGTGGGGAGGTGGTCGAATAGACCCAGTCTAGCTTTGGTTCGCAGCACCCAGCGAGAATTGAGGGTGACACGGCGGGCAAGTGTGTCTTTGTCCACCTTGGGGCTGGCCATCAAGTGCAGGGCGGCCAAGAACTCCTGCAGGCTGAGATGAGTGAAGGCGTAGCCTGTCTCCTGCCGCCCGGGGCCTTTGCAGATGCAGAAGGAGGTCAGCAGGCCAAGGGCAGCCCCAAAGGCCATCATGGATGGAGGAATGTCTCCTGCAGAGAAGATAACCTTCCCAGTCTCCAGGCTCCTCAGGGCCACCTCACCGAGGCCCATGAGGGACGTGGCAGCCCGGTGCCCTTGAGGGCTGAGGGCGAGCACCATCTGCACGTAGTTTTGAGTCACAGTGGGCAGGCGGGCCACAGACTGGCCGGGAGAGATGTCCGGGAGCAGATGGTGGAGGCAGAGGCAGGCGACTCGGCACAGGGCGGGCACCACACACATGCTCCGGAGATGTCTATTTGCCCGCAGCTCTGCTAGGGCCGCCTCCTGAGACTGCTGGGTGCTGAAGAAGCGGCCCACGTACTCCTCCACCCGGGGCCCGTCGAAGCCCCACATGTGGATCATGGCTGCCTCTGTGGGCAGGCAGTCTGGCAGCTTCCCAGGACGGGAGGTGGCCATGACCCTGCAGCCGGGCAGGAGGGTCCCGCGGCACAGGCCAGAGAAAAGGGCAAAGGCTGGACCTGGCATCTCAGGACCTACAGTCTCCCCTGCAGAACAGGGGTGAAGAGCCTCCTCTAGCCCATCGAAGATGAGCAGGACTCCATTGGCATTCTCCTCCAGGTACCGGAAGACGGCATCGGGGCCTGCCTCGGGGCTCAGGTACAGGTCAAAAAGGAGCTGGGGCAGTGTCAGGACATCTGTAATCAGATTGAGCTGGCGGAATTCAAAAAGGAACAGGGCCTGGAAGCGGTCTAGCTGGCCGTCAGCCCACTTCTGGCAGAGCCAGCGGGTCAGCGTGGTCTTGCCCATGCCGGCCTTCCCCAGGAGCACCATCACCCTCGGGCCCTTGTCAGCCCTGGAGCTGAAGAGGTCCTGGATGCTCACATCAGTGCCATCTTCTGCCTTGGGGCTCCCCATAACGGCCCCCTCCTGAGTGTCGAAGGGTGCCGTGGCCCGGCTCCACTGCAGGATTGTAGGGACGTAGGCTTGGTGGAAGGTGAGGGGCTGCCCTGGCCCAGGGAGCTTCCCACCATAGCGCTGCTGGGCAGACGTCCTCAGCAGCTGTAGGTACCTCTTGGCCACCTCTGCTGGGGTCAGGAAGATGGCATGAGTGCAGGAGGCGTCCTCCCTACCCACTCCCAACCTGTCACCCCAGTATTAGCTGTTGGGAGTCTGTAGAGTGGCAGAACACACAGGGGCTCGTGTGCCACCCAAATCCCTAGAAGGAATTGGTTCTGCAGAAGCAGACACGATGGCAGCCGTTCAAACGGGGGCATCTAGTGGGGCAGTGTCAGTGGCTAGGGAACAGGACTGTAGTTCTCTGCTTTGCAACAACAGAAATGGTGTGAAGTTTTCAATAAGATAGGGAAAGGGGACACTTCCTTTGCAGGATCTTATCAGAACCATCTCTTCCCATGGTGTATGAGTAATCTGTGCCCCTCCCCAATATTTCAGTTCTGCAATGCCCAGAGGTGAGCGCCAACAACCTGTAGGTCCAGGCACTGACCAATCAGAACCGTGGGAACTGGGCCCCTAATGTGAATTTTGAATGGCTGAGTCATTGGGAGATCCCGAGTGACCCAGGGAAAGGACTGAGGCCACTGTTGGGGGACATTAGGAGCCCCCCTGGGGACCCGAGGTCATAGTCTATGTTGTATTGATGTGAATCACCTGGCTGCCTGTGAATGCTCTGGCTATTCCCATGGGGCTGGTTTCCCAGCTTGTGGGATAGCTGGTCAGGAATAAGGACACTTCTGGACAACTGATGGAAAATGAGAGAAATTCTGTCTCTTCTTTGCCCCCTGGGCTGGCCAGTCCTCAGCAGGCCCCATGTCTCCCCATGGGCCCCTAAGGTCTTCTGCTTTAGGGGGTTCTCCCTGGTATCCTGTTCATCCATTATATATAACTGGCCAACAAGGGTCTAGGTCTGAGGTTATGATGGTCACTTTCTTGGGGCTCCCTCAACCCTGAGGACATGGGGTGTCACTAGAAGAGGCTAAATGACAAAACTGTGATCTGTTGGGATGCTTCCAGCTCCTTCAGCTGAGCCCTCTCTGGAGAAGCCCCCTAGGGGCCTGTTGGGGAGGCCCCTCCTTGCCAGACTCTGCCCTCTCCTCTACCCATCCAGGACCTTCAATCCCTCCTTCATGGAAACTTGGAATACAAGAGTCACTAGGCCCCTGGAGGCTTGTCAGCAGGGGACAGAGTCCAGGAGCTCTGTCCTGGCCCCAGTGCAATCCAATCCCTATGTTCAGGTCCCTCCCCACCTTGGTACGCACCTAGCTGCTGCTTCCTGGACTGCTTTAGCTGGGGTGGGGACCCACAGCTCTGGTGAGGTCTCTTGAAGCCTGGAAAAAATAAAGGAAAGGGTAAGGGGTGAGGTTTGAGGAGCTTCATTCCACACACAGGAGGCAGGCAGACAAGTGTATCCATACTCAGGGATTGACTGAAGGCAGCTCAGTAACAAGGGCCAGAAAGGACCAGGGACCAGGACAAACAATTTTTATTTGTTGGGGAGCTGGGATTATGGAGTGGATGTTTTCTGTTAAAGACTAATGTTACAGCCATGTACACCTATAACTAAAAAGTCCATACATCTATAGAAATAAAGGTTCTGAACCCACTGCGAACATCACACTCAAGGTGAAAGATCAAAAGCTTTTCCTCTAAGATCAGGAACAAAACAAGGATGCCTGCTTTCACCATTTCTATTCAACATAGTAGTGGAAGTTCTAGCCACAGCAATTAGGCAAGAAAAAACCCCAAAACATCCAAATTGAAGAGGGAGAAGTAAAATTGTCTGCATATAATAGGATCTTACATGTAGAAAATCCCAGAGACTCCACAAAAAAGGTTTTTTTAGAACTAATAAATGAATTCAGCAAAGAAGCAGAATACAACATGTAAAAACAGTTGTATTTCTATGCACAATGAATAATCTGAAAAGAAAATTACAAAAACAATTCCATGTACAATAGCATCAAAAAGAATAAAATACTTGAAATTAACTTAATCAAAAAGGTAAAAGATTTCTATAATAAAAACATTACTTAAAGAAATTTAAAAAGATATAAATAAATAGAAACACATCCCATGTTCATGGATTGGAAGACTTAACATTGTTCAGATGTCAATACCACACAAAGCAATCTACAGATTCCCTGCAAATGCAATCTATATCACAATCCCAATGACATTTTTTTTTTTCAGAAATAGAAAAACCCATTCTAAAATTCATATGGAATTTCAAGGGACCCCAAATAGCCAAAACACTCTTGAAAAAGAACAAAGCTGGAAGACTCACACTTCCTGATTTAAAAACTTACTGCAAAGCTATAGTAATCAAAACAGTCAAATAGACCAGTGGAACAGAGAGCCCAGAAAGAAACCTTTGTGTGTCAATGGTTTTTGACCAGGGTGCCAAGACTATTCAGTGGGAAAAGAACAGTCTTTTCAATAAATGGTGCTGGGGAAACTGGATATCCACACACAAAAGAATAAAATTGAGCCCTTACCTAACACGTATACAAAAAAGTAACTCAAAATGAACCAAGCACCTAAATGTAAGACCTAAAACAATACAACTCTTAGAAACAAACATAGGACAAAAAATTTACCACACTGGATTTGGCAATGATTTCTTGGGTAGGGCACTAAAGGCACAGGTAAGTAAAGAAAACATAGACAAACTGGATTTCATGAAAAGTTAAAAGTTTTGTGCAACAAAAGACACTATCAACAGAGTAAAAAGGCAACCCACAGAATGGGAGAAAGTATTTGCAAAACATCTATCTGATAAGGTATTAATATCCAGAATATATAGAGAACTCCTAAAACTCAACAACAGCAAACCAAGCAAGCTGTTTAAAAAATGGGCAAAGGGGCCCTGGCCGGTTTTGTTCAGTGGTTAGATCATCAGTCCATGGACTGGAGAGTCCTGGGTTTGGTTGCCCCTAAGGACACGTACCTCAGTTGCAGTTTGTCCCCGGCCCCGGTTGGGGTTGTGTGGGTGGCAACCACTCAATGTGTCTCTCTCACGTCGATGTTTCTCTCTCTCTCTTTCTCCCTCTCCCCTCTTGCTCTATCTGAAGATAAATGCAAAAATGTCCTCAGGTGAGGATAAAAAAAAAAAAAAAATGGGCAAAGGGCCCTGGCCAGTTTGGCTCAGTGGATAGAGGGTTGGCCCACAGACCAAAGAGTCATGGGTTTGATTCTGGTCAAGGGCACATATCTCAGTTGGATCCTGGCCCTGGTCGAGGTCGTGCAGGAGGCAACCAATCAATGTGTGTCTCTCATATCAATGTCTCTGTCTCTGTCTCTGTCTTTCTCTCTCTCCCCCTCCCTCCCTCCCTGCCTCCCTCCCTCCCACTCTGTTTGAAAATCAATGGAAAACATCCTTGGATGAGGATTAAAAAAAAAATGGGCAAAGGATTTGAACAGACATTTCTCCAAAGAAGATATACAAATGGTCAATAAGCACATGAAAAAGCGCTCAGCATCACCAACCACTAGGAAAATGCAAATCAAAACTACAATGAGATGCCCCCTCACACCCATTAGGATAATTACTAAAAATAACAACAGTGGGGGCTGGGTAGAGGGGGGAAGGGTGGGAGATGGGGGACATCTGTAATACTGTCAACAATAATTTTTTTTTAAACCCAGAAAATAATGAGTGTTGGTGGAGACGTGGAGAAGTTGAACCTGTGCGCACTGCCGTGGGCTGTGAAATGCGGCCGCTGCTATGGATGCAGTATGGAAGGTCTCAAAACATAAAAAATGGAACTACCATAAGACCCTGGAAAAATATATACAAAATAATTGAAACAGGGTCTTAAAGAAATATTTGTCCACCCATATTTATAGCAGCATTGTTCATCATAGTTAAAACATGGAAGCAAACCAAGTGTCCAGTGGATAAATGAGTAAGATGTGGCATATCTATACAATGGAATATTAGCTTTTAAAAGGAAGAAAAATTGTGCCCTGGCCAGTTTGCTAAGCGGTTAGAGCATTGGCCCAAAGGGTCTGAGGGTTCAGGACATATACCTGGGTTGCAGCTTCGATCCTCAGCCCTGGTCATGGTCATGCACGGGGCAACCAATTGATGTGTTTCTCTCACATTGATGTTTCTCTCTCTCTCTCTCTCTCTCTCTCTCTCTCTCCCTCCCTCCCTTCCACTCTATCTAAAAAATTAATGGAAAAGTATCCTCGAGTGAGGATTAACAAAAATAAATAAATACATAAGTAGAAGAACATTGTGACACATGCCACCATATGGATGAACCTTGAGTACACTCTGCTGAGTGAAATAAGCCAGTCACACAATGATTCCATTCAGATGAAGTAGAGTAGTCAAAATCATAAAGACGGAAAGTAAAATGGTGGTTACCAGGGGCCAGGGGAGGGATGAATGGGGAATTCTTGTTTAACAGATAGAGTTTCAGTTTTACAAGAAGAGAGAGCTGGAGTGGATGGTGGTGGCAGTAACGCAACAATGGGAGTGTATTTAATACCACTGAACTGCACACGTAAAGATGGTTAAGATGGTAAATTTGATGTTATGTGTATTTTACCACAATAAAAAGAAGAATGAAAAATTCTGAGAATGGGGTGTGGCCCATGAATTGGTGAGGTTGACCCCTCTGCGCTCCAGCAGAAAACCAGTAGGGGGCTTCCTGGGTGTGGACAACAGCACATGGGTCTGTCAGGCCCGAGTGTCAAATGGGGAGGGGCCTGAGTCAGTGGGGCTTGAACATGAGGCCCCGATGCTTGGGGACAGGGAAGTGACAACAGGCTTTCCCAAGTGAAACCAGACAAAAGATTCTGGCAGAACCAAGGGCTAACAGTTCAGACTCTCCCAGGAGAGGCTCTGGGTTAGACCCCAGGGACAGGCCAAAGCCTTGAGGGGCACAGAGGGGGAGGAGGTGGGGCCAGGAGCTACGGTGAGGGGCAGGGGACACGTGCAGGGGATAAGGGGATGAGGAGGATGGTTTATGGGAAATGGCTGTAACCAGCCTACTCTGGGTTTGACATGGGAACTGAGCATGCTCACTGTGCCCTCCTGTTTCCCAACCCCCCAGGCCTCACCACAGTGGAGCTGAGGTTCAGGTTGGCTTCCTTCACCAGTTTTCAAAGGATTGGAAAACTCTGAAAGAGAGGGGGAAGAATATAGTACACCAGCTCTGGTCTCCCATAGGGTGAGTCCCAGCAAGGGAGAAATAAAGTTTACACTCAGCAGTCTGTGGAGGGCAGGATTGGTGCTGAGCCATGAAGGCAGGCAGGACCAGAATGTGTGTGTATATGCAGGTTTGTGCACGGACAGGAATGTGTGTGTGTGCACATGCACACCCGTGTGCACATGGTCAGCCCCCTGCATTTCCTGCATGCTGCCTTGTGGTAGAGTTGTGGAGTGAGTTCTCATTGGTTCCCCCCAGTGTTGTGTAAACAGAAGGTGCCCAAGAAATGCCTGCTGACCTGAACACATTCAATCTGCCTGCCCATCAGTACAGGTCAGAGGGCTCTCCTTGTGACTGCTTCTGACCACGTTGCAAGAAGAAACCTGTTGGGCATGATGGCCTATTTGGAAATTCTGGGCTGGAAGGAGTCACCCTGTTCTTTCTCTCCTTGCATCCCGCTTCCCTGGATGCGACTGGGGTGGTACAAGGTGGAAGGTCCCCAGCTGATGTGGTAGCATTAGGGAATTTGCTCTAAGAAGTGTCCAGAAGCATAGAATTTTGTTCCTGGCTTGGCCATGGCATCTCTGTGTGACTCAAGTGGGTCCCCACCTTCCCTGGGCCTCTCTGCACCGCACACACAAGCCCTTACCGTCTCCATGGCCCCACGTGCTCAGCAACAGCACCTCCAGCTCCAGGGGCACCTCCAGCTCCATGCACACACAGTGGATGAATGCCTGCCAAGTGGCCAGACCCTGGGTGTGCAGTTCCCTGAGTTGTAGGACGACCCTCTGTGTGGGGTCTGTGGCCTTGTTCCAGGAGCCCAAGTCCATGTTAGGGAGGAAGAACTTCACCTTGGCACTCAGCCATTCTGGGTCATTGCTGAGCAGCCTCACAAGCCAACTCCACTGGTTCTTGGTGCCCAGCTGGAAACTAATGGGGTCCATGAGGAGATGGCCCTGCAGGGACAGGGTAGGCAGGTGAACTGAGAAACAGGTAAGCTGGGGGGTAGGTGAGCTGGGGGACAGGTGAGCTGGGGGACAGGTGAGCTGGGGAAACAGGTGAGCTGGTAGACAGATAAGCTGGGGGACAGGTGAGCTGGGGGACAGGTGAGCTGGGGAACAGGTGAGCTGGTAGACAGATAAGCTGGGAAATTGGTGAACTGGGGGACAGGTGAGCTGGGTGGTAGGTGAACTGAGGGATAAGTCGGCTGTGGGGGGAGTCATCGGGGGGAGTCAAGAACTCTCCCACACACATCTGAGGGGCAGCGAGCAGGCAGACAAGTGGCCTCTCCATGGAGTCTCAATGCCTTTGCCCAGGAATCAGTTCCAGAGACTAACCTCTGACTTCTGCATCCACCCCTCCTGACTGTGCCTGGGTCTGGTCTAGTTCATTCTCTGGAGACGATGTCCTGGGAATGCTCTCCTCATTGTGTTTCCGTGCACCCTTTTGTGAGGCTATCTCATTTAAGCTACTTGTCTCCCAAACTTTGTTCTCCCCTTTTTCCTTAGTTCTAGAACCCTTGAAGATTTCCTGGTCATCTGGAATAGACTCTATTTCCCAGCCTCCCTTGCAGTTAGATGCAGCCATGTGATTAAGTTTTTGCCGAAGGGATGTAGGTGGAAGTGTTGCATATCTTTCTTTGCTTCTTCTTGTTGGCTGGAATGTTGATGTGATGGCTGAACCTTGGGCAGCCATATTGGATCATGAGTGGAAGCCAGTGCTTAGAAAGGTAGAGGGTAAAGCTTTCCACCTGCCTTGGACTCTCTGACTTTGAACTTCTATGATGTGACAAGGAAATACATTTCTATTCTGTTTAAAGCATCATTATTTAGGGCTTTCTGCTACACACAGTGAAGTCTAATCCTGGCTAAGGCAAACCCTATTCTCTTCTAAGCGAATTCTCCCCTTCTAAACAGAACTCTCAAACAACCTGCTGGAAGGAGTTCTGCCATAAGGTGAGGGCACTTACACAGCAAAAGCCTAAAAAGTATGCAGTCCCTTTGATCCAACAATTCCATTTCTAACACTCTAGGCTTAAGAGACAATTGTGGCTGGACATAAAAAATTTAATGACAAAGCTGTGCACTGCAAGAATATTTATAATAGTTGAAAATTGGAAGTAATCTATTGTCCAACAAGTGGGGATTAGTTAACTAGTTGGTTGTCTGTCATATGGTGAGATATGCTATAATATTTCCAAATGTACTTTCTGGTCCTATTTTCTTAATCATAGTAGCAAACACTCAGAAAGCATGTCCTGTGTGTTAGGGCTGTTCTAAGTGCTTTATGTGTCTCCTCTCATCCTCACAACTCCCAGAGACCTCCACTGCTAACTCCGAAATGGCGGAGAGGCTCACCAGGAGCCAACTTATCAACTCCCAGAGGTTGGGGCAAGGACTACGTGTCTTGGGGTTCAGACCCCAGTTGCTTCCTTGACCCCAGCAGAGACCTACTGGGCATGTGTCCCCACCCCCACCCCATCCCACCCCCGGTCATCCCTCCCCAACCAGACTAATAACAACTCCTTGCTCAGGCACAGAACTTTAGAATTCATGAAACATTCTCACGTCCATAGGGTAGGCAGGGACACCATCCCCACTAAAGGTCATACTACAAGTCCATGGGAAAGCCAGGCTCAGAACTGAGATTTCTCAGTCTGAGCCAGTAAACTTCTAAGGCCTTGAAGCCCTGGATGGTACAGTCAATGGCTAAATTCCTGAGCTTTGTGTTATCTTGGCTACAGGATGTGGCCATGGCCTAGGGCACAGCTTCATGCTGTCCATGAAGAAATCATCCAGGGCAGCAAGATGCCAGGCTGAGTGAGGAGTGCCTTAGATGGTATAATTTCTGGGGCTATTAATCCTCAAATTCCCCCTCCAGCCAGCCTAACACAATGCCTTTGTGTCAACCATGGGTGCTCTATCCCCCTGGGGTGAGACATCGAGCTCTTCAAGGATGAGCGTCCCGGGAGGAAAAGCACACTGCCTCACTATTGGTCATTGAGATTCCTTTGGAAACAGCCTTGGAGGTGGGATTATAGTAGAAAGATCCTCGGCCCCAGGGTTAGGAGACTAACATTCCTGTCCCATCTCTACAACTGATTCTCAGATATTCTCTTTCTCCTCTTTCTAGGCCCTTAGGAGGATTTCATCTTCCTGCCCCCGTGAAATCAGAAATGGCCAAACTTGCTTTGGCCAATGAAATATGCTGAAGAATGACCCAGTGTCATGTCTGTGCGGAAGTTGTTGTTTTTTAAAAAATATTTGTATTGATTTTGTTGTGTTTTTTTGTAGAGAGAGAGAAAGGGATAGGTAGAGAGAGAGAAACATTGATGTGAGAGGGAAACATCAATCCAGCCTGCAACCCAGACATGTGCCCTAACCCAGGATTGAACCAGCAACCTTCTGGTGCATGGGATGACGCCCAACCAACTGAGCCATACCAGCCAGGGTGTGTTAAGGTTTTAAGAGCCAGTGTGTAACTCAACATGCTCTCTCTTCCTCTACCATGGAGATGGGCATTCAGGTTTGAGGTGCTGTTTTAGACTGGGTCCGGGAAAGAGGATAATGTGGAACCAAGGTCCCAGTCGATTTACAAGAGACAAGAACTAGGAGCAGGAAATAAACCTTTGTTCTCATAAGACACTGGGACTTTGGAGGTTGGTTGTTATGCAGCATAAACAAGCCTATCCTGGCTGATAAACTCACAATATGACCTTCAGAAAGCCTTTCCCTACCTGGGCCTTGGTTACACCACCTATGAAATGGGTAGATTAGATGCTGTCTCAGGCCCTTGCTGATTTTCTGTGTCTGATGATTTTCACTGTCATGTTGAATGATGGCTAAGGGTAGGTTTGTTGTATTGGGGACAGCCCAGCAGAGAGCAATCTTGGCAGTGGGCAGGTGAGTGAAGGAGTGAACAGAAGGAACAGAGAGGAAGCAAAGGGAGAAGATCACCTACTTGGCTCCTGGTTCATCATAGATGTTCTAGGGTGTCCGTGGAGAGAGTCTCATGGGTGCCTGGGCCAAGTCCTGTGCCTTGAGCTGGATTTGCAGGTTGTTTCCATAGGGCAGGCACCTAAGGAGAGAGGAGACAGGGTGCTCGCCCCCGTTTCCAAAATCCAAGAGAAATGCTGTAAAGAAGGCACCAGCCCTTACCCCTGCCTCTGGAGACACCTCTGAGGACATTTGACCTAGAAACAGTCCCCTCACCTTCACTCACAGATCCTGTTCTTGTCCCTGGACTGTGTGCACTGCTCACCCTCCCTGGGTCACCTCCTGCCACACCTGGCCCAGTGACTCATGGCATCACAGTGAGCCCTTCAAATATGGCCAACTTACTACAACTTACTTATTGGGAGGAAAAAGGAGTAATCCTCACCCCAGATGCCAAATGCCTTTTCCAATAAAACTCCAGAAAGGTTAGGATTTGCAATCTCTTTCTTATTGCATTTGAAACTGGTTTAAACAATTGAAAGTAAACGTACTCCCCCCACCATCACAATTTAACAATTTACATGGACGATTTTATTTATTCTTGACAATTCTATTATGTTCTTTTCTAACATTTTTTATTGTTGAAAGGATTACAAGAACGTTTGTTATCTATAATAAACATTCTTTTTAATGAGAAAACCCAGAGGCATGGGTCACTCTCACGCAGAGCACTGTAAATCCGTGCTCCGGCACAAAGGCCTAGTAAACACACCTTTAGGGATTTTGTCTGACAACTCAGAATGGACAAAAAAAAAGATGACTAAAAAGTTCGTGGAAAAGCCCTGGCCGGTTTTCTCAGTGGTTAGAGCATCGGCCTGTGGTCCAGAGAGACCCGGGTTTGGTTCCCACTAAGGGCACGTACCTCGGTTGCAGTTTGTCCCCGGCCCCGGTTGGTTGTGTGGGTGGCAGCTACTCAGTGTGTCCCTTTCACGTCGATGTTTCTCTCTCTCTCTCCCTCCTACTCTATCTGAACAAAAAATGGAAAAATGTCCTCGGGTGAGGATACAAAAAAAAAATGTACGTGGAAAAGAGACTTTTGGTCAGGATGGCGGATAGGTAAACATGGTCTCACCTCCTCCCACAACCACATCAAAATGACAACTAAACTACAGCACAACTATCCTTCAGAACTGCCTGACACCGAGCTGAATGGAAGTCCTACAACTACGGAATTAAAGCAGCAGCCACATCCAGACTGGTAGGAGGGGCGACGGCGGACAGGCTGGTCCCACACCCACGTGTGGCGGATAAAAATCAGGAGGACACCTTGGCTGGGAAGGTCCTTCCTGAGGACTGAGGGGTCCCTGTCCCACACCAGGTGCCTTGCTCAGGGTTCCAGTGCCAGGAAGAGAATCCCCAGAACCTCTGGCTGGAAAAACCAGCGGGAACTGAGGCTCAGGAAGGCTGAGGCGGCTGGAGCCCCAGGCAGCTCCTCTTAAAGGGCCCGCGCACAGACTTATTGGACTTGCTCCCTCTAAGCTTGGAGGGCAGGCAGCTCGAGGGGCGCCAGAGACATACAGGGAAGAACCGAGCTGTTTGGCCTCAGGATGAGGGCTGGAGAGGGGGCTTTCTCCTGGGCAGACCTGCTGGCAGAAGCTTATGTTCTTTTGATGAGCCCTTCCCTGGGGCGGCAGACAGCAGCCATACCTGGGACTCCAGCAACCTGGCTCACACTGTTTGCCCCGCCCTGGTGATTCCCTGAGGCCCCGCCCCACCAACTTTCCAAAGGCTTTACTGTAGGATTGGCCTGTCTCAGATCCTGCTTCAGTTTCCTAAAATCTCTGAAACAAGCAACATCTGGTCTCAGCAAGACCCATACCTCTCATTAAGTGGCCCCAGGCCTGGCACTGGAAGAAGCCAGCCTTGGTTCACAACTTAACTTTTCCTGGGCACCTCCAAGCCCAGCACAAGAAGCAGCCATCAGCAGATCACTTTGTAGCTTATGCCAGGCGGCCCTAGGTAGAACACAGGCAGTGGCTAATCTTGTCCCAGAGCCACCACACCCAGTGGACAGCTTCAGACCACATCAATACACCACCACCCAACCACCTCCACAAGTGACACACTCAATGAGTCAACTCAGTGGGTACAGAGCCGTGCTGAAGTAAGTCTTGCTCTGCGTGGTGGGCCCCTGCATAGCTGATCCTCCAAAGTGATCAGAGGTTGGTGGTCAGTGGGCACAGCCAGTCCTTGCAGTTGAGTAACTTACTCAGCCTGAGTAAATCCCTCCCATTGACATGCCAACAGCAATCAAGACTCAGTTACAACAGAAGGGTGTACAGTCCACACTAGGGGTTCACCTCAAGGGCCCAGCTGGGGTGATCAGGGAGGCTGTGCCACTGGATCCTATAGGACACCTACAAAAATAGGCCACCCTACGAAGCCTAGGAGACATAGCAAGTCTACCTAATACATAGAAACAATCACAAGGAAGCAGCCAAAATAAGGATACAAAGAAACATGTCCCAAATGAAAGAAAAGAACAAAACTCCAGGAAAAGAACTAAACAAAATGAATTTAAGCAATCAATCAGATGCAGAGTTCAAAACACAGGCTATAAGGTTGCTCAAGGAACTTGGTAAGACATTCAAGGAACTTAGTGAGACCTCCAAGGAACTTAGTGAGAACATCAACAACATAAAGGACTGGTCAGAAATAAAGAATAATTTACAGGGAATTAATAGTAGAGTAGATAAAGCCAAGAAGCAAGCCATCGATTTGGAATATAAGGAAGCAAAAAACACCCAATCAGAACAGCAAAAAGAAAAAAGAATCCAAAAAAATAAGGATAGTGTAAGGAGCCTCTGGGACTACTTAAGCATGCCAACATTCGCACCATAGGGGTGCCAGAAGGAGAAGAGAGAGAACAAAAAAATGAAATTCTATTTGAAACAATAATGGCAGAAAATTTCCCTAACTTGGTGAAAGAAACAGACATTCAAGTCCAGGAAGCACAGAGAGTCCCAAACAAGATGAACCCAAAGAGATCCACACCAAGACACATCATCATCAAAATGCCAAAGGTTAAATACAAAGAGAGAATCTTAAAAGGAGCAAGAGAAAAGCAGTTCGTTACCTACAAAGGAGCTCCCATAAGACTGTCAGGTGATTTCTCAAAAGAAACTTTGCAGGCCAAAAAGGAGAGATAAGAGATATTCAAGGTGATGAAAAGCAATGACCTACAACCAAGATTACTCTATCCTGCAAAGCTATGATTTAGAATTGATGGGCATATCAATAGTTTCCCAGACAAGAAAAAGCTAAAGGAGTTCATTGCCACCAGACCAGTATTATATGAAATGTTGAAGGGTCTTCTTGAAGGAGAAGAAGAACAAAAATATGAACAATAAAATGGCAATTAATGCATATCTATCAACAATTGAATCTACCAAAAAAAAAAAAAAAAAAATGAGCAAGCAGAACAGAAACAGACTCATAGATACAGAGAACTTTTTGTTGCTTGCCAGATGGGTGTGGCTGGGCATGGGTGAAAAAGAGGAAGGAATTAAGAAGTACAAATTGGTTGTTAGACTGATGAACCTCAAAGGGAAGCAGGGAGGGAGGGTAGAATGAGATAAACCAAAAACCTCTATGCATATATACATAACCAATGAACACCAAAAATAGTGTGGGGAAGGCAGGAGGGGGTCTACAAAGGTCCAGGAATAGGAAAAGACAAGGTTCTGTTGAAGAGGTAGTGGGGGTACTGATGACATTTCTTTAAACAAAACTGTCTAATTCTAACAGAAGACATGGAGAGAGGCATGAGCTAATGGAGATAAAGCCTTGCTCACCTCCCCTCAAGGGAGATCCACTAGCCCCAGCTCTGGCTCCTGGCAGCCCCACTCTCTGGATTCTTGGTGGCTCTGCCCTGTCCAGGTCTGGGCAGAATCCCACCAGACAGACTGAGTTGTGTGGCTCTGGAGCGGAGGGGCGGAGACTCCTGGCAGCTCCGCCCTGCAGATATCAGGGCTCCTGGCAGACTCCGGGAGAGGCTGCCTTGGGTGGCTGGCTCTAGGACACGCTGGATTCCCCTTCATACAGACAAATCCGGGTCTGTTCGGGCTTGATAAACTCTGCTGGCCTCACCCTGATGACTCCCTGAGACTTCGAACCACCATAAAGGTGTGAGAGCACCCAGCAAGTGGCAGGTATACGCTGGGACATTTGCTGAGTGGCCTCAGACTCAGCACTGGCACCGATTTGAACCTGCATCAATCTGGTGAGCACCACTGGTCCCTACCTGATGACTCCTGAGAATCTACCTCATGCAACTCAAGTATGACCAGAGGCTCTTTCAGTGACTGAGCCTGACAGGCAGCCGGCAGGTGGAAGCGGACCGAAGGGCTCTTGGGACTTTTGCTGAGTTGCCCCCAGGACCAGTGCTGGTGAAAGCCGGCCTTGGTGCACAGCTTGGTCCTTCCCGCACACACCCAGGCCCAGCAGAGGCAGCCACAGACTGTGGATTGCTTTGTAGCTCCAAACAGGCTGCCTAGGGCCAGTCACAGGCAGCGTCAGATATTGGCCTATACCGGAGCCCTTCCTAGAGACCCCAGAACCAACATACCCAGTGGCTAGCTTCAGACAACATCAGAACAGGGTCCAATTAACTTCACAAGGCATATCCAAAGGGAGGCACCACACACTGCTGAGGTCTTTTCCAGTGTCCTTCAGGGGTCATTCCACCTTAGGGCTCAGAAGCTGCGTCATAACTTAGGTGAAGATGTAGTCTTCAGCCTGACCATTACGCAGATCTGGGCAAGTGTCTTCTGCTGCCTCGGTGGGTTGCTGATTATGGGGAGGGGGAGGCTAGGTCTGTGGAGAGAGAGAGAGAGAGTGTGCTATTTCTACAGGTAGGATTTTTAAATAAATGTAATCAAAGTCGTGAGGACCCTCAGTTCAGTAGATCTACACAATGGAATATTATTCAGCAACAGAGTGAACCACAAAAACAGTATGCTCAGTGGAAAAAGATCCGACGTACCCTAGTGTGTGAACTCAAGCTGTGGCACATGTACGTTTAAGTGTGTGTGTGTGTGTGTGTGTGTGTGTGCTTGCATACATAGAGAGCAGCTCTAGGGCTGCACGAGAAGCTGGCGACAGGATTGTCTGGGGAGGGCAATGGGGACACAGGCAGCGGAGAGCCCTTTACACTGTACTTCATGACCACTTTGTGCCATCGGAACTTTCTAAAAGGTTTGTTTTGAGTTTTTAAAATGTCAGAACATTTACACTAAAAACTAGAACAGACATTTCCCTAATATGTAAGGAAGAGAAATACACAGATATGAGTAAGCACAAGAAATGGCCAGTGATATGTCAAGAAATGAAAGTTCCCTACACAAGGTGAATAACAACACTGAGACAGACTCTGAGAGGCCACCAGTGAGGGTGACTCTCTGCATCAGGTCTGACAGACAGAGGCTGAAAATTCCAATGAAAAGCAACTCATCCATCTTGAGGATATAGTTCATCTTACTTTTTTTTTAATCCTCACCTGAGGACATTTTTCCATTTTTTGTTCAGATGGAGTAGGAGGGAGAGAGAGAGAGAGAGAAACATCGATATGAAAGGGACACATCGAGTGGCTGCCTCCCACACGACCCAACCAGGGCCAGGGCCAAACTGTAACCGAGATACGTACCCTTAGTGGGAACCAAACCTGGGTCTCTCTGGGCTGCGGGCCAATGTTCTAACCTCTGAGCCAAACTGGCCAGGGCCTTTTTTTAAAAAAATATGTTTTCATTTATTGTTTTAGAAAGAGAGAAAAGGAGAGATAGAAACATCAATGTGAGAGAGAAACATCAATTGGTTGCCTCCTGCATATCCCCTACTGGGGATCGAGCCTGCAACCTGGGCATGTGCCCTGACTGGGAATCAAACCGGTGACCTCTTGGTGCGTGGGTCAACGCTCAACCACTGAGCCACACGGGTCGGGCTAGTTTCATAATTTTTTAATCTTATTTCTTTCCCCTTATTTACTCAGACTTGGTTATTCTTTTTTTTTATCCTCACCCGAGGACATTTTTCCATTTTTTTGTTCAGATAGAGTGGGGGGTGGGGAGAGGAAGAGAGAAACATCAATGTGAAAGGGACACATTGAGTGGCTGCCACCCACACAACCCAACCAGGGCTGGGGACAAACTGCAACCGAGGTACGTGCCCTTAGCGGGAACCGAACCTGGGACTCTCTGGACCACAGGCTGACTCTCTAACCGCTAAGCCAAACCGGCCAGGGCCAGACTTGGTTATTCTTTACACTTATGAACTTTATTGTTTAGGTTACGTTTAGTCTTTTCCTATTTTTTTTTGTTTTGTTGTTGTTGTTTTTAATCCTCACCTGAGGATATTTTTCCAATGAAATATATATATATATATATATATATATATATATATATATATATTTTTAAGAGAAAGTGAAAGGGAGGGAGGGAGAGAAAGAGAGAGAGGGAGAGAGAAACATCAATGCGAGAAGAGACACATCAATTGGCTGCCTCCTGCAGGACCCCAACTACCCAGGCATGTGACCTTGACTGGGAATTGAACCCAAGACCCTCCAGTCTGAGGGCCAACGCTATACTGAGCAAAACTGGCCAGGGTGATAAGTTAATTTTTAAACCTTTGTCATTATTTTTCTGTTTTACTGTACTGTACAAAGAATAAATTCTATACAATTTCCACTTTGGAGAATATGTTGAGATTTTTCTTTTTTTTTATTTGCTTGGTATATAATAAATTTTAAAATACTCCATGAACATTTAAAAATGTATTCTTTTTTCAATAAAGAGAAATTTCTGTCTCACGAATTATACCAAAATAAAGTCTAGATGGGCCAAATTGTAAAAAATTAAACCATAAAAGTATTGCAAGGGTATAGATAATCACTTTACAACAATTCATAAAGCTGTATCTTTAATTTTTTGGTATGTTTTTTGTGTTATATTTCACAACTAAAAAGTTTAAAAATTAAAAAAAAAATTTTAAATTGATTTTAAAATATTTTTAGAGCAAGTGGAAGAGAGGGAGGTAGAGAGAGAGAGAGACGTCAATGTTGAGAAAGACACATCAATTGGTTGCCTCCCAAAGAGCCCGGTCAGGGCTGGGGAAACCTGCAACCCAGGCACATGAACACCACAAATAGAGTGAAAAGGCAGGTGACAAAATGGAAAAAATATCTGCTAGTTATGTCACATATCAAGACTTACAACAAATTAATAAAGAAAAAAATAACATCCTGATAGAAAAGTGAGCAAAGAACATGGACAGTTTGCAAAAAAGGAAATACAAATCGCTCTTCAGTGTGTGGAAGGATGCTCAACCTCACACGAAATGAAAGACGTCCATGTTGCAACTATAACGTACACTTTTTCCAGCTGAGACTGCGAGGGTGTGCACAGCAAGGCGGCCAGCGGACAGGCGCTCTGAGACCCTGCCGTGGGGACGTGAACAGATACAGCCTCTGCCCACCAACACTGTGGATGCCACACAACCCACCCGGCAATTCCATGCCCAGGTATGTAGCCAGCAGGTGTATTCATCATGTGTAAAAGGATTATGTTCAGGCATATTTAATGTGGCCTTAATTATAATAGAAGAAGATTGGGGAAAACCTAAACAGCCATCAAAGAGGAACTACCTCAGTTATGCACGTTCACACAATGATATTCTACGTAGCCACTGAAAAGCAAGAGGCAGAACTAAGTGGAATGACGTAAAACAGTGTCCAGGATACATTAAATGTTTTAAAAAGAGCAAGGGCAGAACAGGGTATAGAGTAAACTGTATTTGTGTAAGAAGAAAAAATGTATATCTTTCTAAATACATGACTATTTCTGAAAGAATCTCATAAAAGTAATTATCCCCAGGAGGGGAAGGCTTAGAATTTTATATTGTATGCATGTATTATCTGATAAAAAAATTTTTTTTAATTGCATATACCTATTACCTTGACTTTACTGGTTGTCATTCAAATCTCCTGTGTTCGTATTTATATGGTTTGGAATATCCATCAAAGAATGAGAGAGACATTTCCAGTCACTGTGCTTCTCCACCCATGGCTAGCAGGTTTTGATTACACGGAAATTTGGAGGTCTGTGTCACTCAAATGCATACAGTTTTATAGAAAACAAGAGTGCAGAGCTGCTGCTAACAGAACAAGAAAATAAAACCTAATAAACTTGCAAACCTTCACCTGTGCATTTCAGCACAGATCCAAAGGGTTACCTCTAAGAACCACCTGTGCACCCCCGGGTGAGCAAGCACGGGCTCAGAGAGAGGCAGTGAAATGCCCAGGGTCACACAGTCAGCGCCCAAAGGGAACCCAGGCGTGCAGGTTTGCAGTCCAGTGGTCTGGCCACTCCAGGTCCAGAATGCCAGAGGGCAAGGGCAAGGGGGTGCCTGCAGGCCTTGTCGGGTGCTGGTCTCACTAGGGGTCTGCATGGTGAAGATCCAGGCTTCAGTTGGACAGATGACCCTTCCACTGCCCTCGCTGCTGTGCTCTTGGGGACCCCTCCTGCTATCCCACGGTACTTACTGGCTAGAGGTTAGAGGAAGAAGTTGAGAACTCAGGCCAGTCTCCTAACTACAGCTCCGGGCATTTGTCCTGGTCGTTCCATTTGTCTGGGGAGCCCCCACCTCCAGTCTACACACATGCACACGCGCACCCATGCATATATGTACGTATGCAAGTGCATACACATGCGCACACACACACACATACATCTGGCCTGAGTATCTCTAAGACTCAGCCCTGGTCTCACCTCATTTCTCTCTAAACCTCCTCACGTCATCCCACCACCTCCAAGGGAAAGTTGCGCCATGTTCATGTGGCTTCCACAAAGCAGGCACCCAACAAGGTTCAAAGGTTGCATATAAAATGGTCCTTACCAGTGGGTTCCTGGCCCCGCAGCACCCACACACTCCCAGCAACACTCACAGCCCCACCTCTGGTCCTCTTTCACAACTCTCTGACTTGCACATTCTCTTCCTCTGCCTCGAACAACCTTCCCTTTTCCCCACCTTGCAAACTCCTCCTTCTCCTTCCAGACCCAGGTCGTCTCCCTTCTCAGGGAAGTCCTGCTGGCTGCCTTCCCACCCAGTCAGGCTTGCCCCGGCTTCGCTCCTCAGCACCCTCTTCTTTCCCTTCTGTCGCGGGTCTTGCTTGCCACTCTGCGTCGTCATTTCCTCTTGGCAGCTTCCTGGACCTCAGCAGACTGGGAACACCTCAAAGGCAAGGGCAGTATCTGATTCTGGGTAACAGCAAACACCTTGGCCCCAGGTTTGCGTCTCTCCAGCTACCGCTATGGAACTTTGATCAGGCTACTTCATCTCTTGGTACCCCAGTGTCCTCATCTGTAGAATGGGGATGTTCTAGGTTAGGCTTCTAGAAGCAGAGCCCCGGACAGGTGTCTATAAAGTTATTTATTGAGGGGTAAGGGAGGCAGGATGGGGTGGAGGGAGAAGCCAAACAAGGATGTGGTTTCAGGAACAGTCTAGCTTCAGCCTGACCCATGGGAGCTCTGGAATGTGAACCAAAGGACTTTCCACCAAAGGACCCTTTAGGGTTTCCAGGTGCACCCTCCTGGGGGCCAGGGTTCCCTAGGGCTAGTCCTAGCCTGGCTAGGGCAGCAGGTAGCCAGGTAGTAGCCTTGTTTCTCTCACTCAAGGGTTTGTCCTGCCAAGCGGCAAGTAGATTGGGCAGTTACACCCATAGCTGCCAATCTGCCAGTCACTGGCTATGGGCATTGCCCAGTGGGTGGGGAGGGAGAGGTTATAGCCCAGGCACTTCTGCCAGAGGCAACCAGTGTCAGCAAAGAGCAATCCTTTGGGGAAAGGTGCAGCTGTACGGTCTGTACCCACAGCGGATGGAGGGCATGGGGGCACTGCCGACTATGGGAGAGCCAGCAGAGGCAGAGGGAGCACACAGAGTGGCTGCTATTCGGGCAAAGATAACCTCTAGCTGGCAGGTTGTTGGGAGATGAGGCGGCAAAATCCCTGATGGCAGTGGGACACAGGAACAGCTCAATCCCTGTCAGCTATTGTTAGCAATGGTGTTATTGGTTCCAAAGTAGCACCAGCCCCCAGCACAGGGTCCAAGGAAAGAAGGGGGTGGTGGAGGAAGGATGTGACTTGAGTCACAGACTTCCGGCTACTGTTCCTTTGGCTTTTCCCTCTTCTCGACTCTTCGGGCCTGGATTAAGGGGGAGTCTCCACGAGGCTGCGCATTAAGAACAGACGGGTGCTAACACGTCCCTGGCTTGCCAGGGCCTGTTTCCTCATTTCTACAGCGCACATCACCTGCCTTACCTGTCTGGGGAAGGGTCTGGGAGGGTCAGGCTGAGGAGAAGGGCTGTGGGAGGCCAGAAGCCCTGTCCCCATGGCACACCCTGAATTCTGCCCCTGGCTCCTGGGTCAGGGTGACAAAAGCTAGGACGGAAGAGGGAGACTGAGGGTGGATATTGGAAAGAGGGACAGAGTAAGGAGCTTCGAGTGCTGAGCTCAGGGTCAGGAAGGATACGGTTGGCTGGTGGGGATGATAAGAAAGGCAACCCGGGTCACGACAGAGTTGACAGACATATAGACAGAAATATCTCCAAGGAAGAAAGGAACATGCCACTGAAGCTGGTTTCTCAGGACCAAGGGGGCAGGTCAGGCCTGGGGACCTAGGCTGGCCCAGTGCCCACAGAGGCCCTCCAGCCCTCTCAGAGTCCTCCATGCCACGCCCTGCCGGGGCCCACGGCAGAGAGGCCAGGGCGCTGCCTTCCCCAGGGCTTGCTAGTTACAGTCTGGAGCTTTGCAGGGGGGCTGAGTCTAGATGCAAAGGGGGATAGAGCTGGAGGAGTCCTGACTGTAGGGTCCAGACGAGGTCCATTTTATAGATGGGTAAACTGAGGCCCTGAGAGGGGAAGGCCTTTCTGGCATTCTTAGCAAATAAGTAGCAAAGGCAGGGCCAGACTGACCCAGCGGGCTCTTTCGGGGAGGTCAAAGCAGCCCCACCCCAGAAGTCACCCACCTTTCATGGGCCAATGGGGTGAACCTTCAGGGAGAGGTTAGCAGCCATACCCTCCCTCACCCACCAAAACTGACAGTGGAAAAGTGGGCCCTTGACACAGCATGTTTCCACGGGGGATGATGATGTGGGGTGACTGTTCTTTAAACATCGTCATGTTCACTGTCCCTCACAATGACAGGGCCCTGTAAGACGTGAAAGGCATGGTCACAGTGCTTTACTGATTCCCAAACCAAGGCTCCCAGCAGTAAGGGGACCTGCCGGAGCGACGCAGAGCTGGGAGGTGAGCTAACGTCTCCTCATCTGGAAGCCATCTCGGGGTGGAAGACACTTTGGAGAGAGTCTTCTGGGCCTCGGGCCTGGGCCTGGGTGGTCTCTGTTCCCAATCCAACAAGGCCTCTCTCTTCTTGTCACTGCGAACTGGGAATCTGGGTCCCAGCTGTCACCACCAGACTAAATCTCCTCCTTTGCTGCTGGAAGGGCTTGGACTTTCTACCAAAGAACCCTGTGGGGTTTCCAGGTCCACCCTCCTCTCAGTCCAGGGTGCCCTGGAGCCAGCCCTAGCCTGGCTGTGACAGAAGGCAGCCAGACAGTGGCCTTCCGCGCCCGCTCAGCCCTGGCACTTTGGGCCCAGCCCTCACAGGAAGTGACTGGAGAGGCCTCCATGACGAGGCTCCCACCCAGCGTGGTCCGGGGCCCCCAGAGGCCTCTCCCCGGACCTGCCAGGCCTGTGCTTCCCAAAGTCGTCTGCACATTAGTATCATCTGGGGAGGTCTTGAAAAAATCCCAGTGGGCCACACCTGGGACCAATGACAGCACCGCCTCTGAGTACAGATCACAGGCGCCCACGCTTTTGAAAGTTCCCCACATGACTGCGAGGCCATGACACCCCCTCTCCACTCCCAGTGGGGAGACACTGGCCCCGTGCTCCCTCGCACCTAGAACCCTGCCTCTCCGGCAAACCAGAGCCAAGTGATTTCTGCCCTCTGTGAGCCTGGGGGCAGGAAGGCCACATTTAGATGAGACCCTGAGGAGGTCTCCCGATGACTAACACGAGGATCCTGGAGGGTTCTTGGGCTGGTTCTGAAGTTCAGGGGGACGGAAAGGGGAGCGGGGGAGGAAAAAGGCTTGAAATGTAAAGGAGAGAAGTTGGATCCTAAAGTCCAGATTCATGGCCTGGAAATTGGTCTGCCCACTTTGAAGGGCCAATTAGCAGTGACTTCTAACACTTACAGTGCATCCGCTCTTTGTCTCCACAGATGACTGCTTGACAGAAAGCCCGTGGAGTGCTGGACAAGGCAGTCCTGTCGCAGTGTCTGGACGGTCTGTAGACCAACAGGGAGGTGGGACCACACCACTGGATTAGGGGCATGAAGACCACTGATTGTGTTGACACAGCTGCCTCCTCAAGATGCATTCTTTTTTTTTTTTTATCCTCACCCAAGGACACTTTTCCATCCTTTATTCAGGTAGAATGGGAGGGAGGGAGAGGAAGAGAGAGAGAGAGAAACATCGACGTGAAAGGGACACATCGAGTGGCTGCCACCCACACGACCAACCAGGGCCAGGGACAAACTGCAACCGAGGTACGTGCCCTTAGCGGGAACCGAACCCGGGTCTCTCTGGAGCACAGGCCGACGCTCTAACCACTGAGCAACCGGCCAGGGCTCAAGATGCATTCTTGACTAAACCAGACACGTTGCATAATGATACGCACTATATGACATCATCTGTCTTAAAAATACACTGACACTGCCCTGGCCGGTTTGGCTCAGTGGTTACAGCATTGGGCCTGCGGTCCAGATAGACCCGGGTTCGGTTCCTGCTAAGGGCATGTACCTCGGTTGCAGTTTGTCCCCGGCCCCGGTTGGGTCGTACGGGTGGCAACTACTCGATGTATCCCTTTCATATCAATGTTTCTCTCTCTCTTTTTCTCTCTCTACCTCCTACTCTATCTGAACAAAAAAACAAAAAAATGTCCTCAGGCGAGGATAAAATAAAAATACACAGACACTGAACCCAACACCACATTTCTTCTCACAGGTCTATAACATGTTTTCACAGTGGAGAGGCTGAGAGTATGCATTTTGGATCCAGGCTGTCCACGGCTGCAGGCTGTGTGGCGTCAGGCAAGTCGCGCACCTCCCTGGGCCTCAGTATCCTCATCTGGGAAGTGAGGACAATAGCAGCACCGAGCTCACAAGGTGGTTGTAGGGCTTCAGCGAGTTACGACCCGGGAAGTGCTCAGAACAGGGCCTGGCAGTGAGTAAGCCCCTGTAAGTATTATTTCACTATATGAAGGCTTCAAGTTCTAGAAGGCAACACACCAAACTGGTCACCTCAAACTGGGACAGGACAGACCTGTGGCGGGAGCAGCGAGTAATGGGCAGTTTAACCTTATGTATAAGGTGTTTAGCTTCTTGCAAAGGGCATTTAGTCATGTGTTACTTCTGTGGTTTATAATGAAAACTTTTTTGGTTTTTCTAAGTGAAAGAAGACAGAAGGCTGGGCCCTCTCAAGTTCAGAAGAGGGATTGTGCTTCTGGGGTGGATCACCTGAACCATTCTCCCCCTGCCAGCTGACAGTGCCCAGACACAAAACACGGGCAGAAGAAAGGTTTGGGGGAGAGGAGAGAGGGACTGGTAGGCTGGAGCTCTGAGCCCCACTGCCCAGCCTTGCTAGGTGACTTGCAGGACGTGCAGGCAAGTCCCTGCCCTCTCTGAGCCCTGGTTCACTTGTGCAGCGAGCAAGCCTATCTCACAGGGATCTGTGGAGCTGATAAAAGAGCCCTTATGGTCAGGAGGTGGGGGCTGGCATCTTGATTCAATATTTAATGCTGTGTAACCTACAACAAGTTTCTTAACCTCTCTGTACCACAGTCTCCTCATTTAAAGATGGGGTGATGACTCTGCATATACTTTCCAGAGTCCCAGGGAGAACGGGAGACGTTATACATGTGGAGTGCCCAGCACCACGAAGGGCAGGGCAGCTGCCGTGGAATCGGGGTTATCAGCACAGACCAGGCGTCATGCTGTGGCGTTCCACCCAGTTTCTTCAGTGGACCCTCAATACCTTTTAAGGCAGGTGTTCCCCCATTTTGCAGAAGAATAAACAGACTCGGAGAAGTCAAGAAACAAAGTGTGGATTTAAAACCTAGGCTGAGCCCAGCCAGTGTGGCTCACTGGTTGAGCGTCGACCCATGCACCAAGAGGTCACTGGTTCGATTCTCAGTCAAGGCACATGCCCAGGTTGTGGGCCTGATCCCCCGTGGGGGGCATGCAGGAGGCAGCCAATCAATGTTCTCTCTCATTGATGTTTTTATCTCCCTCCCTCTCCCTTCCTCTCTCTCTAAAATCAATTTTTAAAAAAATAAAATAAAACCTAAGCTGAATCCAGAGTCCCTTTTCTAACTGAAGTATACCATACTACTGTCAACAAATGGTCTTCTAAACTAAAAAATCATCTCCATAGATCTTTATTACTTTTCTGCTTTTAAAATATAATCTTGGCTCCTTTGAAAAGTTCAAAACATTGCAGAAATATATAACATGAAGTTTTCCCCACAATCTCACCCTTTAGGAAGAGGTGTATGATTTCCAAGACTTCTTACTCATGTCTGAGAATATTTTTGCCTTACCTGAGAATCAGAATATCATTTTTTTTAATTTTCTAGAAGTCATTTCACTTTTCATGTTACTTTCTAAAGTATCACCATGAGTGGAAGGTAACTCCAAAAAGAAGCCCAAGGAATAAAAACAAAGTGAGGCTGTTGGGCTGGAACTGGGTATTGCTGCCTCCCAGGACCCCCATTCTTAAACAGAGATCAAGAGTGTGAGAGGCACTGTGAACATTAGCACTTTCTCTTTGACTAATCAGGAAGGACTAAACAGAACTGAAAAGAGACAACAGACTTACTCTATGACTTAACTTAGTGAACGCTCTATCCAAAAGACTCCCAAGAAACACAAAATAGCAAGCAATTTCTCCAGTCAAACAGGAAGCCAGGACACGAGCTGAACACCTCAGAGTACCAGCTCCCCAAGGTTTGAATGTCCCTCCTTTTGACCACAAGGGACAGAAGAAATTGCCAAGGAAAGGGGCCGATGAGAATTTGGGGATGGTGCTGGTACTGGCTCCACCCACCCACCCCATGGATGATGGGAAATCAGGATGTTTTCCAGCTTCCTGCAGTCTCTACATCTGCACAGTCTTTTAGGAGACTAATTAAACAATATGGTCTCAAACACTTTAAAAATAAATGTCCAGGAGAGGATTCTGGGAAGACAGAAAACTAGAAAGTACCAGTAATCTACGTCCCCGCTGAGACAACAGTGTCATTGGCAGAATCTCTCTGGTATAACTGTTTTGGAACTTACAACTTCCTGGGGAAGGCTTGGACTGTACCTTGTGATTAATTTTGGTCATTTCAGTTTTTCATACGGTAGCAGTTACCCATCCCCCACCCCTCAGCCACCTGGCAGGCATCTGTGCCCGTGTTCCCAGAGCAGTTTGCACACAGCTTGGAGGAGCTGGGGTAGGTAAAAAGGATCCTGACCTCCAAATATTGGAGACTTGTGCTCTGATCGCTGATTGCTGCTTCTGACCTCAGAGGTGCAAACAGCAGGATGTCTTTGTTGCATCTCCCTCCATTGTTGCAAGCCCCTCCCCCTCCAGCTAAAGTGACATCCAGGAAATTTCCCACTTCCCCCTTTATTTTTCCCTTTCAGGAGCCAGATATTAAAGACTGGGACACTCAAAAACAACTGCACCTATGGGAAAAATTAGAAAGTGACTGCACATACAAGAAACTCACTTAAGATTTAAAAACAAAAACCAGTTGAAAAGGATGGAAAAAGATATTCCATGCAAATACCATCCAAAGAGAGCAGGCATGGCTATACTAATAATCAGACAAAATACAGTCTAAATCAAAAAAGTTTAGCTCTGGCCAGTTTGGCTCAGCAGTTAGAGCGTCGGCCTGCAGTCCAGAGAGACCCAGGTTCGGTTCCAGCTAAGGGTGCACACCTCGGTTGCAATTTGTCCCCGGCCCTGGTTGTGTGGGTGGCAGCCACTCGACGTGTCCCTTTCACGTCGATGTTTCTCTCTCTCTCTCTCTCTTCCTCTCTCTCCCTCCCACTCTATCTGAACAGAAAATGGAAAAATGTCCTCAGGTGAGGATAAAAAAAAAAAGTTTATAAGAGAAAAAGAAGATTATATATTAATAAAAGGTTTATTTTTTTACTATTGAAAGTATTACAGATGTCCCCCTTTTTTCTCTATTGACCCCCTCCTTCCCACTCCCACCCCCGTCCTGCCTTCCCCAGCCTAGTGTCCATGTAGACTGGCTGTGCATACATGCATATAAGTTCTTTGACTTATCTCTTCCCACCCCTCCCACCCCATCCCTCAGGTTTGTCAGTCTGTTCCCTCCTTCCATGACTCTGGGTCTCTTTTGGTCCACAGCTTATTTTGTTCATTATGGTCCACAAATAAGAGACCATGTGGTACTTTCTCTGACTGGCTTATTTCGCTTAGCATAATTAATAAAAGGTTTAATACAGCAAGAAGATATACCAATTATAAACATTTACACGTCTAATTATAGACTGGCAAAATACATGAAGCAAAACCTGACAAAATCAAGGGGAGAAACAGTTTTACAGTAGCAGTTGGAGACTTCAGTACTGACTCACAATAATGGACGACACAATAAACTGCTTAGATCTAACAGACATACACATTTCACCCACAACGACAGCATACACACTCTCCTCAAGTGCACATGGGACCTTTCCGAGGGTAGATCATATGTTAGGTCACATATTAAGTCTCAACAGTTTTTAAGCCCAGCTGGTATGGCTCAGTGGAGTGAGCATTGGCCCACAGACTGGGAGGTCCTGGTTTGATTCCTAGTCAGGGCACATGCCCGGGTTGCAGGCTCGATTCCTAGTCGGGGGCATGCAGGAGGAAGCCGATTGATGGTTCTCTCTTACATCGATGTTTCTCTCTCTCTCTCCTTTCCTCTGTCTCTAAAAAAATCAAAATGAAATTTTAAAATATTAAAAGATAAATATCATACAAAGTATCTTCTACCACAATGGGATAAAGTTAGAAATCAATAACAAAGAAAATTGGAAAATTCACAAAACTGTATAAATTAAAAAACACACTTTTAAACAACCAATAGAGCCCTGGTCGGTGTGGCTCAATGGCTGAGTGTCAACCCATGCACTTAGGGGCCACCAGTTTGATTCCCGGTCAGGGGATCAAACCGATTGTGCGCCCTGTCCCCAGTGGGGGGCATGCAGGAGGCAGCCAACTGATGTTCTCTTGCCCTCAAATAAATAAATAAATAAATAAAACAAAAATAAATAACCAATAGATCAAAGATGAAATCACAAGGAAAATTAGAAAATACTTAGAGATGAATGAAAACAAAACCACAACATACCAAAACTTATGGGTCACAATGAAGGCAATGCTAAAGGAAAAAATGAATATCAATAAATGCTTATATTAAAAAACAAATCAACAACCTAACTTTACAATTTAGGGAAGAAAAGAAGAACAAACTAAACCCAAAGCTAACCAAAAGAAGGAAATCAAGATTTGAGATAAATGAAATGGAGAATGTAAAAATAGTGGAAATCAATTAAATCAAAAGTTGATACTTCAAAACATCAACAAACCTTTAGCTAGATGAACTAAGAGAAAAGAGAAAAAGCTCAAATGACTAAAATCAGAAATGGAGGACTTCCGGTCAGGACGGCAGGGAGGTAAACGCAGTATCGCGTCCTCCCACAACCACATCAAATTTACAACTAAACTACAGAACAACCATCATTCAAAACCGCCTGAAATCAAGATGAATGGAAGTCCTACAACTACGGGATTGAAGCAGCAGCCACATCCAGACTGGTAGGAGGGGCGGAGGGGACGGGCTGGTCCCACACCCATGTGTGGCGGATAAAAATCAGGAGGACACCTCGGCTGGGAAGGTCCTTCCTGAGGACTGAGGGGTCCCCGTCCCACACCAGGTGCCCCGCTCAGGGTTCCAGTGCCAGGAAGAGAATCTCCATCACTTCTGGCTGGGAAAACCAGCGGGAACTGAGGCTCAGGGAGGCTGAGTCGGCTGGAGCCCCAGGCAGCTCCCTAAAGGGCCCGCGCATGGACTTATCGGACTCTCTCCCTCTAAGCTTGGAGGGGAGGCAGCTCGAGGGGCACCAGAGACATACAGGGAAGAACTGAGCTGTTTGGCACTGGAGCGAGGGCTGGAGAGGGGACTTTCTCTGGGACAAACGTGCTGTCAGAGGCCTTTGTTCCTTTGGTGAGCCCTTCCCTGGGGCAGCAGATAGCTGCCATATCTGGGACTCCAGCAACCTGGCTCACACTGGTAGCCTCGCCCTGGTGACTCCCTGAGGCCCGCCCTGCCCCGCCCCACCCAACTTTCAGGCCCACCCAAGCTGTTGCCAGTTGCTTAACCATAGGATTGGCCTGTCTTGGATCCTGCTTCAGGTTTTTCCTAAATTCTTTCAAACGAGCAGCATCTGGTCTCAGCTAGCCCCATACCGCTCGTTAAGTAATACACTGAAACAAACCCAGGGAGGCAGCCAAAAACGAGAACAGAACAAAACCCCAAGAAAAGAACTAAGCGAAAGGGAGATAAGCAACCTAACAGATGCTGAGTTCAAAATACTGCTTATAAGGATGCTCAATGAACTCAGTGAGAACCTCAGTGAACTTAGTGAGGGCCTCAAGAGCATAAAAAAGGACCAGTCAGAAATGATGGATGCACAGTCAGAATTGAAGGAGGCATTAACTGAAATAAAGAATAATTTACACAGATTCAATAGTAGAGTACGTAAATCCAAGAAGCAAACCATCGATTTGGAATATAAGGAAGCAAAAAACGCCCAATCAGAACAGCAAAAAGAAAAATGAATCCAAAAAAATGACGATAGTGTAAGGAGCCTCTGGGACAACTTCAAGCGTGCCAACATTCGCATCTTGGGGGTGCCAGAAGGAGAAGAGAGAGAACAAGAAATCGAAAAACCTGTTTGAAACAATAATGGCGGAAAACTTTCCTAACTTGGTGAAGGAAACAGACGTACAAGTCCAGGAAGCACAGAGAGTCCCAAACAAGATTAACCCCAAGAGGCCCACACCAAGAC